TCAATTGTAAATCAAACAATAAAAAAATTACAATGACATTCAGGCAAGTATTACACTCACTGCTGCTGAATGCGCAAAGTTGTGCCTACTTAGCGAAATGTAAAGACGAAAATGGCGTCATTGCGGTTATTCGAGATTCTAAATTTCCTCTTGGCTGTTAACCTTTAAACTTTATGAAATGATTAAAATGTTACTTCTCCCTTTAATATCCACACATTATCCAGCAGATAGGTGATGGGAATACTTAATCTCGTCAGTTAGAAGTTGTAACCTTGATCTAACACCAAATTCTCGTAACTAATTTACAAGGAAATGTGTAGCAGCTTGCTGTTCTCGGACCGGTGAGCAAAAAGTATATGGGAAGAAAAATTATTCTTTTCTCAGCGAGGTCATGAACCACATCGCCATCTGTTGTGCCAAGAGGGGATTCCTCTGTTGGATGTCGTTAGAATAATTGTCTCTTGTTTTAAATGTCACGCTATTCTTGGCTGTGTTTTCAGTTTCCTTTGCAACTGTCTGAATGTCTTTGATGTGCCCGCTTTAGATGTTCTATTTTGGTAAAGTGACCGAGATCGTCAGGATCAGAATTGTACGAGTACAACTCATTAAAAAAATCGTAGAAGTTCGTCACTTTTTTCTTTCCCTAAAACGTCGTTTTATTTCGCCTGGCCAAGGAAACGTACCAAGCATGAGGAATATTATTCACTTTCCCCGATCAAGCAAACCAAATCAAGCACAAACAACTTTATTCACTTAGCTGAAACGAAACAAATCACGCGCGAACAATGAAAAGTACTTCAATGTTTACGATCACTCAACTTGAACTAAAACTGAAAGTTTAAAAATCTCCAAGAAAGGTAGCATCAAATTAAGTTTTCCACTAAACAATAAAATATCAATAGCATAAAAATAGCATCGATCAAGTTGTTTGGCTTTCGATTGTTAACACTTTTGACATGACTTAGTGTGCCATTTACTAAACGGTCAATTAAAAATTCCAAAACCTACAGAAAAAAAGTTTAACATATTACAAATAATTTGTATCACACATATACAGTTCTCAGTTCTAAATGTCTTAGGTTCCCACAGCAAATGCCAGCTACAGCATACATTCTTTCTTGATAGTTCTTTGTATCTGTTGACTGAAATAAATAAATAAATAAATAAAGGAATAAGCACGGGAATCCAAACGACCGGAAATGGCCTGACCCTTCTTGTAACGTCATGGGTATGTTGACAATATTATTAAATGCCGTCAACAACCAAAAAAATACGCCAAGTCAGGTGTTTTAAGCCAGACATGATATGCAAATTTAATGGCGCCTAAAGCAGAAACAAAACACTGGAAAGTTAGCCGCGGGGTTATTACGATCGTCCCGTTCGTCTTTCACTTCTTTCATCTCCTTATGTCCTCCTTTTAACTGAGATCCTTCACTCTCCAAAAATTTAAGGAAAAGCCATGCCACGATAACCCCGCTTATGGCACCGCATACTAAACTAATAAGAAGCTCCTTTGGGGACATTTTATCAAGTTCGTCGGATACCGATGCAAGTCGATTTAAACTCAAGACTTTCACTACAATTCATCCAGTACCAGACTGAAAAGAACCTGTGTTGCTCTAGTGAAGTCAATAAGACCGACAGCCAATAAAAACCGTCGATTTGTTGTATTAACGTCAGTAAGAAAACGAAACCAATGATATTTGGCGAAACCACATTCCATTGTTTTATGTACTTGTTTTGATATTTTAGAGACAAAGGAAATTAATAAAGGAATAAATTAATAAATCAACCAAGGAATTATTAGAGAAGAACGCGCACAACTTGGAGCACTCCAGTTCCAAGTTGCGCGCACAACTTGGAGCACTCCAGTTCCAAGTTGTGCGCTCAACTTGGGACACTCCAGTTCCAAGTTGTGCGCACAACTTGGAACAAGAGTGTTCGAAGTTGTTCTTAATTGGTCACGGTAAAGAGTTTCTAAAGCTAGCTCGTCCTATATTCTTAATGTATTACCAACTTTGAGGCCAGTTTATTTTTCTGCTGGAAGTTGATAATGTTAGAGCTATGCTGCAATTTTAGAGCATACAGGTCTTAACTCAGATATTGATTTGATTCTCGTTATTTTGTTGTTGTCTTCATCCTTTTCCTTTGAGAATAATATTCTCTCTCCTTATGTGATCGGTTACGCCTGTCCGTTAATATGCGTCGTTGATATGCTCTTCCAAAGTAGCGGTTTAGTTTTGCTCTCGGCGATAATACCATTTTTTCTATTTTTGACATGAAGATATTGGCAAAAGCCCCCGCCGTTGTATCTCGCTTCATTCCTCAAAATTAGTGCGGATCGGTCTTTTGACTACGAGTAGAGTTGCTTAGACCAAGATTAATACAAGTCAAAGAGGTCTGTTAATTATAGTGACACGAACTGTAGCTTTTAGTTCAAAATTCGTTTCAACGAAAGGAAGTCAATTGTAAATCAAACAATAAAAAAATTACAATAAGGTTCTTGGAAGTATTACACTCACTGCTGCAGAATGTGCAAAGTTGTGCTTACTTAGCGAAATGTCAAGACGAAAATGGCGTCATTACGGTTATTCGAGATCCTAAATTTCTCCTTGGGTGTCAACCTTTAAACTCTCTGCAGTGATTAAAATGTTACTTCCAGGAAACCACATCGCCATCTGTTGTATCAAGAGGGGATTCCCCCGTTGGATGTTGTTTGAATAATTGTCTATTGCTTTAAATGTCACGCTATTCTTGGCTTTGTCTTGAGTTTCCTTTGCAACTATGTGGATGTCTTTTATAAGCCCGCTTTAGATGTTCTATTTTGGTAGACTGAGATCGTCAGGATCAGAATTATATTTGAAGAATTCATCAAAAAATCATGGGAGTCCGTCACCATTTTCCTTTCCCTAGATAGTTAATTTATTTTGCCTGGTCAAGGAAAATGTACCGAGCGTGAGGAATATCATTCACTTTGCCTGATCAAGCAAACCAAATCAAACACGAACAATTAACGAGGCAAACAACGGAGGGGCAGAGCTTCCAGCCGCCATAAAAGTCGCACCAGCAACATCAGAGCCCATGTGAAGCTTGTTCGTGATCTGTTCCAGCGAGGGAACGAAGTAATCGTCGCATACGTACTGAGGCCAGTGCTTCAAACTTATAAATGGCCAGTACAAAATTAATTACAACACCTCCTTGCTTCTGTCGCTGATACTGGGTCATATAATCGGCTGGAAAGTCGTCTATGGAGGGTTTGACGCAATTTTGTGATGACGCCGAGGTTTTTTTCTAATTGCACTCTTCGAGTTGTTTTGGTTGCATCGAATTCGACCGAGCGGAACCACGGTGATTTGAATTGATTTCTTCCGTTGTAAACGATGTTATTGACTTATAAAGTAGACTTGGGTACATGAAGCAAGCGAAAAGAACTAGAATTGAAAATCGATCAAAGACTTTATTTCCTCGCTTCATTTTGGACGCGTAAATCGAGTGCAGAGCGAACTGAAAATCTTACAAGTTTACTGATGTTAGAGCCCAGTAACGTTCAACCAGTAAGAGATGTAAAATTTAACAGGGTTGGAGTGCGGATTGTCAGTCTCCAACCATACCATAATTTTTGTCACGCAGCTGTTATAGAGAAAGTTCGTTATCGTTACTCACGTCACTTGCCGAATCTTTTACGTAAAATAAAACTCTGTGGCTATCGCAAAGGATACAATGATTTAGTGTATCCTACAATAATTATGCTCTATGAAACGAATGTTACACATTAATTAATTTCGCAAATTTCGCTTGATAAAAAAAATTGCAAAAATAAGCTGACGTGAATGACAAGTGTCATATGAAAATATAATTACGTGAAATTCTTGGTTAGGCTGTGTTTCATGCATTCCACAAAAGAGGAAATTGAACAATTCTCATTATTTTTCTTTTTCTAATGATTTTCTCAGTTTATTTTGTTTCGTTTTCTCGTGAACAGGAAAGTAATAAGTCATTTGCGGGTTTTCCTTGTGCAGTTCGGATTCCGTTCGTCCTTTATCCTGCTTTCCCTGCAAACCTTTCCTATTTGTCATTTGTTAACCACTCTCTAAATCAATTATAAGACCCCCCACCCCTCCCCCCAAAGGTTCATGGAATCAAGTAACAAGGGCAAAATAGATAAAACTGAAGTCATCAAGGAAAGCGAGACCTATTGTTAATAATATTATAATGTCAAAATATCTCCATTTCATTTTGTACTCTGTATTACATTGAGTACTTTATAATTATGTCATAACCTATGCAAGTTTTTCCAACATGCATGTCTTGATAAAAGCAACATTATAACAAAACACACAATCCTGTCAAGCGTAGAGTTCTATCTTAAACCTTAAAATTAGATCGTGACCTATGAGCAAGATTTATATTTTAAAGTTTATTCGATACAAGTCGATTCGATACATCGACAAAGCCGATTCGATACATGGGCTGCGTAGGTTACGTAACTGCTCTTACTGAAGTTATATCGAAACGACTGTAAACCTATAGAAGACTTGGTGCTTTCTATGCTTCATTCTTCAGTTCTAAGTAAACGGCATCTTACAAGGTTGATTCGAAGACTCTTTAAATCTTCCATGCACAATAATTAACAGAAGTGTGCTAGTCCATAATGCTAGGAGCACTGAAGTTGTAAGTGACATTAAAGTATGTCTTTTCCATCTTCTTTGCCAAACAGCCATAACAGCCATATTCTGATAGTGAGTCTCGATCGCGAGGGATACGCTGGTGAAAAACCACTCAATCACCAACTGAAGACAAGTTGTTAGAGCAAAAGGCTTCAACACTTCTAATAGAGAGGTGTTTTGAAGGAAATTGAACTTATACAAATACAAACAGCCGTTGACGGAAACTATAGCAGTTGATTCAAACAGCATGCTCATAATAGTTATATCAGCCATTAGCCTCTCACGACGAGGAGTGCGAAAACTTCCCCAAGGAGTTGTAAAAGCTCGCAATTTCTCTTCTCAGAATCAAGGCTGTAACTTTCAGTAATTTTTTAAGCCGCAAAATTTGAGGAATGAGACATTTCTCTACTTTTCCTTTTACTCTTTTGTTTTCATTTCACGTGCAATGTTTGTCGTGTGATCAGCTATGCAGGGTTGTTTGTATTGTTTGATATCAGTAAGACAATACCACAGGAGTATGCTTATGTATAATTTTAGGGAGTTTCAATTCGTTTAAAACCAAATGACAGAGGTTCTAAACACGAAACCTATTCTTTGGGGAGAAGGTAATTTCAAGAAGATTTGGCATAGGGAGAGTGCGGCATCCTTTTCAAAACCGCCTGACCTTCCCTCCACAGACGTGATCCTAAAATCCAGAGCGTAATCATGCCGGACACTCCACTCGACTTCTTGGTTCAGAACTCAGCTGTAACATCGACAGCAACGAATCTTAAGCCACAGGATAACAAGTATAATGGCTGCTTTTAATTAGTGAGATGTGAACGTGTACAAATTTCAGAAGCAATAATTTCACAGCGGGTTACATAATCAGTCACAATTTCTGTTCCTACATAATTTCTGCTCCTTTCTCTCCACACACCATTCAAGACACCGAGTTCAGGTGAAATTTTAGAACTAAACTGGTAAAATCGATACCCTGTTTGACAAAATAATTCTGTTAACAACCACACCTTAAAGAACTGTGCATGCCACCACTTAGCTAGAAGAACCTTAAATCTTGGAGTGACGTTACTTACAAAAATAATTTTAAACCGCTGCAGGGTGCCTTTTGGCTGACCAAAAGGCGTGCCAGTCATCATCACGGTTTCACAGACTCAACTCAAGATTTTATTCGCCCGCTTTCGTTATATATTTCACAAATGAAGCTTATTTCACTACCTGTCCGAAAGCATGCAGTCGAGAATAGAAAACTGACGAAAAACAAAACAAAAATGCATCTACAAAGTATCCTATTTTGAGGAAGCAAAGGTGGTAATCATATACCAATTTAACTAAACGGCATTTTACAAGTCTTATTTGACGAATCTTCAGCAAAGCGCTGATGGACAATCACTAAAAGGTTTGTACTGGTCCAATTTGCTATAGATACTGATGTAATAATCGCCAGAACTATATGTCTTTTCCATCGTCTTCGCCATATGGCCATGATAGGCATATTCTGATAGCGGGTAGCGATCATAATCGACAGGGTGATAAAGAAACACTCGATCGCCAGTGGAACAGAAGTGAAAATGGCAAAATACTTGAGTAAATTTACAAAGCTTTCGTTTTGTAAGTATATCATTTGATACAAGTATAAAACACCGTTTACAGACACTATAGCAATTGATTCATACAACATGCTCATGATGGCGATATCAGCCATTAGTCTCTCACGGCGAGGAGTGCGAAAACTTCCCCAAGGAGTTGATTCTCTTTTCAGAATCGCATGGCAGAGATGATCAATTGCAACCATGGTGCTTCGTTCTATGACCTCTGCAGCGCCGTGAATAATCCCAATAATAGCGATGGACTTTAAGCTATCTAGTTCCGCTTGTAAGAGACGGAACATAACCGCCGAAGCGCAATACAACGGCGCCAGCAAGACATACGAATATCCCGGATGAGTAATATTGCATAACCGCTGAACAAAAATTCGTGAGATGACTTCGAGTACGACTCCAATGAGAGGAGCAAATAGAGCGATTAGTAATTTCCCTTCATTGTCTTGTTTATTGTAAGCTGGATAAATCAACGATGCCACTGGAATGGCTAGAAACAAACAAAAATAAGCAGGTACTATCAGTTGAAGGAACAAAATCAGCTGTCCTTTCTTCGTTGTAGGGCGGAAATGTTTAGTCAATAAATATGCCTGGACGCAATAGTTCATGACGAACAAAATATTTAAAGGAATCTTCTGCACTGAGGATAGATTGGAATGAGATATATTCAGGACTTGAAGACCCACGCGATAAAGGGAATCCAAGCAGTACGTCACACAACAGACTAAAAATAGTTTCCTTTTCACTCCTTTTAACTGATACGGACGGAAAAGAAATAGCAAATACGCCAAGAACCAAATGTAAAGGAAGGCACAGGCAATGATATCCGAGATCGATCTCATCCACTGTATTCTTATTGGAATAAACTCTTTTGGGTAAAATTGGCAGTAGTTTACAGTCTCGTAGCATACGTACGATGTCAGTATGAATGCTGAACCTACAAAGGTAGCCGTTAAAAACGAAATCAGAGAGCCAATGTACATTGATTGACAAACTGAGAGGAGAACGGATGGTCTGAGTCGCTTCCAAGCCATTGCTTCATCTTCCTCTGTTTGATTTTCTGGTACTTCTGGGTTCTCTACCGAAGAGGCGTCGATAAGCCTTGCACAAACATCGCTGGAAGGTAGATAGTCCTGAGCCGTGGCTTTTCTGTAGCTGTATTGTTGATAAATGACCTCGTCGACAGGATGGTGAAACCACTCGCGTCCATTGTTTAATAGAGGATCAAAAACCCGCGCCGTAATTTCAGGTTCCTCTGGGTTGCAATGCTCTGTTACACCGCGTGTAAAACTGTACACGATACGGCCAAAAGCCTCAGCTATGAGTGTAACGCTGGACATTTGAGATATGCTCAAAAGAGAGGTTTAAAATCCTTGTACTGCGATCGGTGACTGTTCTATTGACATTAGTATAAATTTGGAAACCGAAATATTCTTCCAAATTATCTTTCAGCTCGAATTTCGTTAATCATGCATAGCGCTGATAGTATAATATTTATTATCGGGTTCGAAACGACCGGCTGTTGTATCAGCTTTGATACTGCTTTACGTCAGAAGGGAATTACTGCGCATTAGGCGGATATTCATGCACAATTTTACGATACGTGAAGACCAAGTCAGAATAAAGATCTCAAGCATGTACGTTGTGCTTGGATGTTTGAGGGTAGTGAGATTCGAAACCCCGCAGAAGGGTCATTTTTTCTTTGTTCCACGCTCCTAATAAATGAATAACATTCCCATGTACAATAACATTAACATGTTCCCACATTAAATAAAATCATCAAATCAAATAACGGATGCCTTTCAGCTGACTATAAGGGCGTGGTAGTCATTCTAAATCCTTTTGCATGTTCCCACATTATCGCCATGTTTAGTCAGGTCGTTTCGGTCCGTTGTATTTCAAGGTTAATTTCCCTTTATCCACTTCTAGTTGATAATCAAATTAGTGGTTCACTTGACCACCAATGTAACATAACAACTCGTTCTTCGTTAATATCTTGTTTAGTTTGACTCAGAACCTTGCTTTAACTCGAATGGATTCGAAACCGTCATATCCACAATGAACACTACAGGTTACGAAAGGAAAGGGACACCTAATTGATTTACGGCGAAGTATTGGCTACGATCCTCTACAAAGTACAAGTCGCGAATGGATCTATCAACCTTTTGATGAAAGTTATTTATCTGGAATATTTATCAAGAATATAGCGTCACAAAAGTCGCAGTAGTGAGGTAACCCAAAACGAACAGATGATAGCCCGAGAAGAACAGTTATCAGGATTTGCTATGGAGACAACGGTACCATGAAACTTAGCTTACGCCCGTTAGATATTATCGAGGACCATGGCTGGAAAAACTTTGCCTCCTCCACAAAGAAGACCATGAACCACGCGATACAAACGCAGGAATTCACTAAGGAAAAATAGGTAATGAAAAAAAAATAATAATAAATAAAAAATTAAAAAAAAAGGTAAAAAAAAAAAATGATTTCAATGTCGTGTTTTAATGTATGTCATTTCGTTTCATTTGGTTAACAATTATTATTCAACAAGCCTTGAAAGGCCGGGCCCAGAACTTTTGAAACCATCATCCAAAACATGGCACCTTTCTGTTCATGTTTGCTGAACACTTTGCTAATTAGTGCCACGCAACTCAAGGGTATCTTTCTTTAACTCGTTTTTATGAATTCGTTTATCCATTTATATTTTATCTATCTAGTTTTCTTTTCTCAGAATAAAAATCTAATGATCACAGAGTTTGTTTTGAGTAATCAAGACGAAAAAACAAACATTTGCAGCATTTTAACCTGTTCCGAGATTTAAACTTTGCCTGCTGTAAAAACTTGCGGTTTCTCGCATTGTTCTGGAAAATACTGGGTGTTTGGAATACGGCAATGATCCAAACCGTACTTCATTGTCTCTCTTCGATCATTTTCAAAGCTTTCAACCGTCATTTCGCCTTAACTATCAACTTTCAATTGAATGATCCTGCCTTGTGAAGCAAACTTTATCGAAATATTTATATCGATATTTATGTAAATAAAAATGATATTTTAACTTGTAGCTTTGCTGTCTCACCTGTCAAATGGGTCCATTTTCTCCAGTAAAGGCAACAGCCTTTCACCAACAAACTGTTTCACGTGTAACTCAAGACAGAGAAGCTGAACGTCATGATGAAGACCAACAAGTTCACGAAGCTCCTGTACGAAAGAAAAAGGGAAACAAAATGACTATGTAGTTCTTTTAACTGCAGCTTTAACAATAGTTCTCGTCTCCCGTTCGTGATTTACACACTTCTCCTAACACCCCGCGTGGCTTAAGACGCTGGTAACAGAGAGAACGTACAGTCTCAGTATTGCTTAACCCTCGACTCCTTAACATCAGTATGAATATTCTCCATACTACTCCCTTGAAATTTCCTAAGGTTCTGACAAGGAGAATTTGTTGAACAATCAAGAGCTTCTCTAGTTGGTGATCATCTCCTTTATTCTCATGACCTTAATGTTTGATTCAGTGGTGATATTGTAAGGAGACATTAGATGTTAGTCAGTCTTTGGGGTTAAAGGGTTAAATGGACAGCGGCAAAAATCATCCATCTATTGACTGACTAACGAGGATCTCAATGTACGAGATCCAGATTTAAAACACTGCCTTGAATGCAATCCTCTCAGTTCTCTTCGTAAGCATCTACCACGACCATTTTGAAACAGCCTTTTTGATTTTCACAAGGACGTGCTTCGTTCGTTTTTTACCTTAACAGAAGAGTAGGTGAAGTCTATTGAGCCACACTGTTGGTCAAGCCCAGCGCATGATTTAGCGCTTACGTAATGGTGAATATCTTCAGGTATCCAGCGTGAAAGAAGTACACACCCTTTGTTCCACTCTTCCGGGACAATCGAGGTGTCCCGCGGGCGGTCCCGATCAAACATACCACAGTTGCCGCAAGGACAGCGTTCGTTTAGTTGCTCTTCAACTGAGAAATAATAACAATAATTTTTAAATTGTTTTAATTCCTTTCGATACAAAAATCTGAAACTCTGGTTCTGTGCCTCTGTCAAGCCTGAATTATGGTGGCTGGACAGCTACGATGGGGTTCATAAAATGATAAATTAGCAATTCTCTTAATTACAATAAGGAGAATTGTGTCGACACTTTACTCGAGAATTGATGGAGGCTGACATTGCTGACATTGTGTTCGGTTTCCTGTCTTCTGCAATTTCTTTCTTCCTTGTCTTTCTGGTCGAATACTGATGGTGTTTGGTCATGAGATCGCTACCTTCTGTCGCTTAAAATTATCATAGAATTTTCTGGTGCCTTGGGTCTATTTTGCAAAACATAAGAGAGGTAGAACCATTAAAAATTTCTTACACTACAGTTTCACCACTAAGGAGTCGAATATCCTCAGTTAGTCTCGAATACGACACTTTTTATACTGCATGGGTAGCCTGATAAATAATGGTTTCCTCTCTTTCCTCCACGGGAGCTACAATCATTTTAGAGAGCAACTTAACATCCTGATCAGTTTTACCTTTCATTTGCGCGCGTGCGTTTACAAAGGAAAATAGATAAAATTTCCCGAGAATTAAGAATTTGTTCATGCTTCGCGTGCGTATATCGTGTTATGGATGCACGCGGGAAGTTTGGAGAGCACCAAAAATGCGTAATAGTAGCTCGAGGCGCAGCCGAGAGCAACTCTAGCTTTTTGAGTGTTCTCCAAACTTCCCGCGTGCATGCATAACTCGATATACGCACAGCTAAAAGCATGAGCAAATTCTTTTATAACAGAGCGACAACAAGGATCTGCGCGAAGAAGCCTTTTACCTTTAAATGTTGTTAATGACCAATTGGTGACTTTTTTTTTTGTTCCCAGTGAATATCTTTCGGCCAAAATTTGCGGCAGCTAGTCTTCCGACAAATTTGCGAAACGTGCAACTTGCGAGTTGTTTTCGGCTTTATTTTTGTTGCTTGTTGGATCAGGACTTATAAGGTCGATGCCGATAAAAAAATTGGGCAGTTCTTCGCTGGTTTCTTCCATATTTCAAAGGGAAGGAAAACCGCACTGCAGCTTAACAGGACGGAAACTCTGAAGCCAGGTTAAAAAAAATGCCCACGTTATCTTATTTACGTACGGGCGTGCGTAAATAAAGATTTTGTGCATAGCGGCTCAATAGGACTTATACAGGGCAAGCACGCGCGCTATGTTATAATACTGAATTAGCCATCAAAGTATATTTGTTAAGGTAAACAACATAGCCGCCGTGATGTCAAAGAGTAAACATGCGTTAGTTATATCATCTACTTCCCTAAAACTGGGGAACGTTCTATGCTCGGTTTGTAGTCGCTTGTAGTTTTATCACTGAGCGTAAAGTACTTGTGGAGCCCAATCGGAGAACAATTTTCGTTTCATAAACGACGATCTTTGTTGAGATCGATAATTCTTGTTACCTGCTGTCAAGCATCTTCCAAAATAGCTCAGCCATGAAAATTTACCACAGTAAACACACGTTCTCACAAGCAACAGAATGTCTCTAAAGAAGACCCTTGCTGTTTAATCCAAAGGAACGTACTAACGATCCAGCTCACCATCGAGTTCTCTGCAGCTTCGTGTCAGAGCATTCGATGGTTAAATTGGACGGTACAGAGTTCGATTTTTCGTGGGGGCGAGACACGGAGTTTTTTTTGTCTCACGGTCGTGACAAAACGAGTATTTTCTTTATTTCACTTCAAAACAGTCTAAGTTAGTGACGTGAATGCGCCACCTAATACTTTTAAAAAGCTGTAACTACACTTCAGGATACTCTGAGCTTCCAGGGAACCATACTTTAATTCTCAGTTCTTTGTAAAAACCCGTTCACCAGCATTAAGGACAAGAAACGAGCAGAGCGTTTGTACAGGCATTCTGGTATAAGCGACTAAAAATTTCGTAACAAGCTTTTTTTTTTTCTGCTGGCAATATTGAAAAGCTTCCTACCGTGTGTGAGGCAAGCAAGTTGCTAACAAAAAAAAATTCATCTCTTGAAGGACATTTTCATTACTGCTTTCAGCAACTCCATTTGTGTCATTAACACGTGTATGACACGTACACGGGGTTAATTTCTCACCAAGTCACGGTTTTACTTTAGTTCAAATTTCCTCTCTTGATTCTATGCCGCAGACGACTTCGCAAGTGAGACATGACGTAATTTAGGGATAGGGGAATCCCCGACACTTTTCACAAAATAATTTGCATAAGGAAATGTTACTTTGGAAGTCACGCAATCGTGTGTTTACCGTTCGTACTCAATCGTTAAGGGAACAGAACAGGTCATTTTCAGGTAACGTATCTTTCGACATTCTCGCCAAAATCTGCGAAGTAGACTTCTGATAAATAACTCTCTGAAAACAACGACCGCTCCTTTTCATTCCTCAAAATTTCCAAGGATAAGTCTTTTGGCCACAGGTAAAGTTCTTCAGACTAAAATTAATACAAGACATACAAGTTTGTTTATTAATTTTAAGCGACACGAGTTCACAATTTGTTTAAGCGAAAGGAAGTCAATTGTAAATCAAACAATAAAAAATTATAATGAGATTCAAGAAAAAAACTCCTCGAAACACAAACGATTCACAATCATATACTCGCGACTGATACTTTAAGTTCTAAGTAAGTTAAACGTTACTGATTAAGATATATACGATTCATTCATGCGACCACAAGAAATCAATCGTCACCTTTTAGACACGAGTTAAATCACAAATTAACAGTTTATAGCTTAATTCCCGTACACTGATTAGGACAGCTCGTAGAAATGCCAGAAAATTTGATCACAGCGCTCCCGGTTTCTGTCGAATAAAACAAAAAATATGAAATTACAAATTCTGTTCTTAAATCATCATTTCTTACACTGCCGAAAGTAAAAAAAAACTGTGCTTTACAAGCAAAAGCTTAGACGGAAATGACGTCATAACGGTTTGGAGCTTCAGCATGCCAAATTTCAGATTCCACATTTCTTCTTGGCTATATTTGTGCTTTCTAAGCAAAAATTTGATGTGACGTCATACGTCTAAAAATTCGGCCCCTTTTTTTAACCTATTAACCTATAAAATCTCAGAGGCGATATTGCTGTAATATAAACTTCTCGCTGTAATATCCATACATCATCCAGGAAACAAGTAGTGAGAATACTTAAACTGATCAAATAGTTTGTTATCTTGATCTAACACCAAATTCTCTTAAGTAATTTGCAAAGAAATGTGTATGACGTCACACCACGGTTTGCTTCAAAGCAATAAAATAATTACATGGAAAATTTGAACTGATCACAGAGTGCAAAATGGCAAAGTGAAAAAACACCTAAAGAAGTCGTTAAAATCGTATTTTTCGCAAAGAGAAAAGCGCATCTAAATAAAACAAAGAAACACTAACGTGCACCAACACAGACTAGCTAAAACTAAAATACAACTACTCGCAGTTCTAAAAGCGTGTAATGATGGCGTCTATCAAAGGATGATGGAAGCATTTCAACTAAAATAATAATTTGAACACCGACCTAGTGCATCTCCTCGTGTTCTTCAGCCTTCTTGTCGAGTCTTTCGTCATTTTCTTCCGGCAGTTTATCTGCAGAGTTGTCACGATCATTCTGCCCGTCTCTAACTTCCCTGATCTCCTCGTGCGTTCCTTTCGGTCCGCATCCTTTACTCTCCAAAACTTTCAAGACAAGCCATGCTGCGATAACTCCGCTTATGGTACCGTAAAATATGCTCAAAAGAAGTTTCTTTGGGGACATTTCGTCAAGTTCGTCGAAAACCAAATCTATTTGATATTACCGCGCCACGCAGTAAAAGAAGTGTACCGTAGTGCTATTCACCTGGAACAGCGCCAAGTCGAGCGTTAGTCGCGCCAAGTCGTGCAAGAAGACCGTGGGAAAAATCGCCATGGAAACAGGAATGTTAAGCACGATTTACGTCCGCCTATTTCCGGTATTAAAATATAAATATCGGACGAAAACATCATTTTAGTGCTAACCACCCGGAGCAGCGCCAAGTTGAGTGCAACGTTGGCGAAAGTCCGAGACAATTTCAGACCGTGGGAAAAAATCGCTATGGAAACAGGAATGTTAAGCACGATTTAAGTCCGTCTATTTCCGGTTTTAAAGTAAACTAGTGGACGAAAACATCACAAGTGACAAGGGTCATCACCTGATAGCCACAAGATGTAAAAAAAAAATAGAACAAAGCGAGAGCTAAAGCGATTTTTCACGAAATATTACCCAGATCGACAAGTCGTTTGATCAATTTACAATGACGTTTCGGCTTGAATAAAGGAATCACCTCGCTACTCCAAAAGATCGTTGTTAGTGTAAATTCTGTCCATAAATTGGGTCCCTAAAGAGGATTTATTTCCTCTTTTCAGTTTTGTACAAGAGATAATAATCTATTGGTTTTAAGGCAAGCAATTGGATAACTTCACATGAATGGATGTACATGTGTTTGATAGGATGCCAGTGAAACGGCTTATGCGTTGGTTGAAAAGTCAAAGCTAGATTGTGTACAATCATTCCCCTCGTCTCACAGTCAAGCTTACTAACCAAAGCAACGAACAGGCTACTTTGTGTTTTGTATCCTGTGATGCATAGCATTAGCTATGCATCACAGGATACAAAACACAAAGTAGCTTGTCCGTGATGCATAACATTAGCTATGCATCACGGACAAGCACGGTATGAATGTTTAAGCTGATGTCAAAATATCTGTAACGCTTCAAAGCAGGTTCTTCGTCCTGAGGCACAATCAACAATTAAAATGTTCCGTACCAATCTGCATGTAATTCACTAACTTGTTTGTAGAGTTAACGAACGATCAAAGTACAATCGATTCTTTTCCCCCATTTTTTTCGCGAAAATACGGGAAGAAACGACTTCGATAAAATAAAGAATTTGATGGACACATTTTCAACACAAATGTTGTCTATATTTGTACTCAAATCATAAGCATGAAGGCGAACCGTAAGCATGTTATTCTTAGAGTACGTGTTACTAATTGCAGTCTGAGATTGCCTTGATGCATCATGTAATCCTTGACAAAAGGTCATTAAGTAGATTCCGAGACGATCAGTCTCATTGACGTTGCAGCAAGAGTGGCGTAGTGAAAGCAACCGTTGGTTCGGGGGGGGGGTGGGGAGGGAGGCGTTGCATGACAACAGCTCAGCACGTGCATTTTAAAACTTTGTACATCTCTCAGCCGTTCTCTACAAAACAACAAAGTGAAATCACCGAAATTTGTGTCGTCTGCGAACGGAAACCGCGACGGCAAATTCTTTTAATTTCCATTTGGAACTCACCGCTGCTCTCATACATTATTCTTATGCTAACTTATGGCGCCGTAAGAGACGGTAACACATTCAGCCATTCGCACAAACTGTAACTAAAACTGTAAATTCATTTTCAATCGACGTCTTCCTCGGCTTTGCCGTCCTGACTGCTTAAGCTCCCTAATGACTAGTGAAGGAGATGAGAAGCCCACGAGAGTTTAACGAGAGGTCTGGAGCGAAAAATGCCATACCCTTTACGGACCTCGCCGCTCGTGCTGCAGCGAAAATGAGAGCGTGGATGGAATTGAAGGGGGCATAAACTAAAATAATTTTGTATCGTAACCGTTAAAATTATGAATTTATAACTCACCTTCCAATAGCACTTGTGTCCTTTTCTGCAGCTCGTTGAACTTACTGAGCACAATTTGCCAGTGTCTATAACATTTGTAAACTTCCTGCCACGACGAATCATCCTTCAAATCATTACTTCGAGAAACCACAGCACTGGTGAGTAACGACAGTCTTTCATGTTCTTCAAGAAGTCCATTTGATTTTTCCTTAATTTCTTTGTGAGTAGAGATGTACCCAATTTTAAACTCTCTTTCGAGACGTTCGACAAAATTATGCCAAGGCAATGATGATTTACTGTCGTCTTTTTCGGCGATTTTCCTTACTTCAGAATACAGTCGAACGCTTGTTGCCTTCAACTTACGGTATTTACCAGGTAGTGCTAACTCGACACCTTCCACCAAAGGATCAAACGAATCCTCTTTCTTATCGTGTACGTCTATTTCTTCTGTATTAAACGAGTCACCCGGTTTAGGTAATCCTAAGGATTGACCTGGTATTCCTGTGACACTTTTCGGCTTTTCGCTCTTCTCGATCACTGATGCTCGCCCGAAATCTGTTAAATTTTCAGCAGATCTGTTGACACTATCAGCTTTTTCAAAAAGCTTACTTGAGACAACAGACTCTTCCCATGAAGGAGAAGAAATTTTTGACTCCTCCTGAAGTAATTCCTTGGAAATCTTTCTCGCGTTACTTCCTTGTTCTTCACCAGTATTATCCGTGGTTGTTTTGGATGTCTGAATATTTCTTCCACCAGATCCAGGTCCAGGTCCAGTTCTTGAGGGAACATTTCCTGGAAAAGCAAAGGGAAATAAGTATCTATATGGCATGTTTAGATTAAATAAGCGAAACAGTTGGCTAATTCGCGATCATTAGAAAACACAGGCGCTACCGATCACCCTGCGAACTTGAAAACTTCATAGAACGAGAGTCAAATCAAAATCTGACAAAGTTAAGACGTCCATGTTTTAAAATAGAAGCAAAGCTCCAACATTGCGTGGCAAATCCCGAACCCGCCCTCCGCCACCCAGCCTACAAACAATGGGTTGATATTACCTCCTTCCTTAAGATCAAGTTTTGAATGGGTTCCTCTCCTGTCATCTTTTTTCAGTACACTCTCCAGGTACTTGTTGGCAGAGCCTCGAGAACTCTTTGGTCTCTGAGGGGACTTCGCTGAGGGGAGCCTCCCAAACGCTGAGCTGTATGTGCTCTTCATGGCTGGTTTCCTGAGTCCAGGCTTTGTGACAGACGCAGGGCGTTTGGGTGGAGGTTTGGAGGCTTTTGAAAGATTTTGCTTTGTTATTTGTTGTACAGGCTTCTTCTGTGGAGGCTCTAAGATGTGATTAGTAAAACAACAGGTCAGCTAAATCAGCATAAGATAAACATGAATACCCAACTAATAAATCTTGTGACAACTTCAACCTTAGAAGAATTATCCAGGGATTAAAACAAACTTACTTGAAGTTACTAAAAGTGGCTTTTTTGAAATCTTTCCCTCCTGCTTTGCTTTTGCTTCAGCCTCATCTAACTTTAAAGCAAAAAAATATTTATATTGAGTTTTCTATGGCACTAAAAAGGATTGGGAAATACATATAAACTACCCCTAGATTTACTGGTCATTTTATCTTAAATTCTCCCAGAGCATTCTGTGTTACTTCATTTCTTTACAGTGAAGTGTACAGCTGCAAGAAAATTTCAGGATCATTCTTGTTTATGTCAAAAAATTCATCAACATTGGAGCAGTTAAAAAAAATTGACCCAAAAATTGAGGGAAGTTTTCCCCACAAGACTGAGCAGTGCATACTGTGCAGGTTTAACCCATAAAGTCCCATGAGTGACAAAGACAGAATTTCTCCTCACAATATCAATTCAATATCAATCAGAAAAGTGATGAGAATAAAGAAAAATATCAATTGGGGATAATTAATTGATCCAATACTTAATTCTCTGAACTTACATTATAAGAACTGTATGGTTGACAGTAAGGAGAATTACAAATTTGATCTAGGAGTTAAAGGGTTAGAAATTAAAAAAAGAAAGAAAGAAAGAAGGAAAGATAAAGTGCTTTGAGACTGATTTTCAGTGTGGGTCTTCCATTCCCCCAATCCTCCTAAATTTTCTTAACAACATCCACATGAAACTCCAAAATGCAAACATGCTTTGCATAGTTAAACTTTTGAATAGGAACGTTCTGCTTTTTTTTTTTTGTGGTGAATTATTTTTCCCAGAGAGAGACAAATGACATTAATCTACTGAAATAAAACTAAAAGTGAAGTACCTTTGCCTGAACTTCCCTGGTCTTTTGAGCCTTTGCTAGTAGGTTTTCAAGTGCTGCCAACTCTTGGCTCTCAACTTCTTTAGCTAGGAAATATTTAATGGTTAACAAACTTTATGATTACGATTCATCAGTGATACATACTTAAATTAACAATTGGTTCATACTTCAGCATGCGTTCATCGAGATATAAAGCACGCGGGAAGTTTGGAGAGCACAAAAGATGCATAAGAGTTGCTCGAGGCGTGGCTGAGAGCAACTCTAGCTTCTTGAGTGCTCTCCAAACTTCCCAAGTGCTTCACATATTGATGAACCCACAGCTGACGTATGAACCAATTGTTTTATAACATTTTTAACCTGATGGAAAATTTTTTCCTCAAGGGATTTGTTTGCTGACGTCATGAACGTGCACAATAGGAATATGAAGCACGCTTGTGCAATTGAATTTGATTAGACAAATTTACTAGCTATGTTATAATAGAGTTTGTTGCTCTTATTTAAATGTAATTGAGTTTGAGAACTACTAGTAAACACATCAAATTACAGGTACCTCACACATACCATAATTTACATATTCAGCTGAAAACTTTCAGTGGCTTTATGAAAACCTGACTATCAAAGAAAAAACCTACAAAAGTATCAAGAGCCTGTCAACTGCCTGTCTGTTGCTTACCAGGAAACTATCACTAGCACCTTGGAAACCATTTCATAGCCCTACACTAAAGATCACTCTGTGAGAGAGGTATGCCAAATATTTTCTAGCACAAAACAATCATAATGATATTATCAAAGTCACCTCAGGTGGTTCTCCCTCTTTTCTTTTGTAAGTTTTAAACCAGCGTTTATAATTACTATACGAGTATTTAACCCTTTAACTCCCATGAGTGACTAAGACAGAATTTCTCCTTACAATATCAATACAATACCAACCAGACAAGTGATGAGAATAAAGAAAACTATCAATTTGGGGATAATTAGTTGATCCAATACTAAATTCTCTGAACTAACATTATAAGAATTGTATGGTTGATGGTAAGGAGATTTACAAATTTGATCTGGGAGTTAAAGGGTTAAGGGAAGTTTGGGTAGGGATGTAATGCTGAGGCCTTAGTCACACTGATAATGCACAAGTTTTGGTATATCTACCTCGTTCAGACCAATCAGACAATATAACTGGCATAAGATTTCAAAATGAAAAAAAATCAACAGTGTTACACATGTAGACTGATCATTGCTAATTCTCACTTGCCATTGAATACTTCTGGTTCAGAGGCACAGTCTGATGAAGAGATTAAGAAGCCAAGAAGTGAAAAACCTTGTTTTGGACTCAGAACCCCAAAACAACATTCCCTGTTTGACAATGCATATCCTCTACGTTATCCCTCCAACCTTAATTACCACAAGATAAAAACATAAAAACATATTCATTCAGTCTTCACCTCTGATTTCAACCTGTGTGCTTTCAGTATTTGTTTCCACATCCTGAGTAGTTTGTAACAGTTCAGAGCCTTGCCTGTTTCCTCCACTTTTTTCACCAGATTTTAGTGGCCTACAAATAAACAAAAACAAATAAGGGAATGAACATGAACTATGATATAAGGTCTCCCCCCCCCTCCAAAATAAAATAATGTAATAGATATATCATACTACGCTAGTACCTACTAAGAGATGCGAACGATAAAATGGCACTAATACATAAACAAAGGATGTGACAGTATACATTAAATTAAAAATGCCAAAAGAAAAAAACTAAGCAACCAATAAAAAAAAATAAATTTTAAAAAAAACGCAGAAACAAAAAGGCCAAAGAAAATGGAACCACTGCAGTGAAACAACTTAAATCAGGTAAAAGTTTAATCGTGTGGCAAAAATGTGGTGTATGTGGTCTACTATAATTAATTTTGATAAACATATAACTTCGCGACCTAGCTAGACATGTACATCTTTCTAAGAGTAAAATGTACTCCACGTTTTGGAACACATGCGATTAAATACCTCCTTTTTCTTCAAAATCCATCATCCACGTTAAAAATTCGAGGCGTAACTTACCACGGCTTGAGAAGACCACGACATTGCTGAACATAACATTCAGTTTCCCGTCTTCGGCGCAAAGAGAGTTCGTACGATTTCGATATCTTTTCCTCAAGCCTGTTCGCGAAGAAACGACAAATTTTTAAGACGCACTCAACTTTTAAGGATTCACAACTTTACAAGAGGATTAACATGACTAAATTACATCTTAATAGCTTGTCTAACATCGTCCATCGAATTTACCGCCTTGGCCGCCATTTTCTTTTCGTCGGATGAGCCGCTGACTAAATTGCAGTCTCAGCGCAACTCTTGGCCCCAGGCTACTAAACGCATCCGACCAACGTTCGAAATTTGTCCCTGTGTTCTTGTTCGCGTTACTCGGAAATGGCTGAAAATTTTACACAGAGAAAACTAAATCTGGTTCTCCTAACTTATGATGAGTTTCCTTTTCTTTTTTTTTTTTAACCAAATGCAGAATTTTTTATCAATGACTGAGGATAAATCTCATGTCTCGACGCATTGACGTCTACTTCAAAAAAAATGGCTGAGGAAAACTGGACAAAGAATGATGGCATTATTGCAGGTCAACTTCATAGGGACAGATCACAAAATAATCAAACTTGGGACAAAAATGGGCGCTGATATCACATTCAATTAAAGCAGAAAATAAGAGTGGGTACGGAAATATTTTTCCCTTTCCACAAAAGGTGTTTTCAGTAAATGGTTTGAACCCGCGAACCCACCACATGTAATAGTGTGATCGTCCGGGTGAGTGTAGTCCTGACAAGGACTGTTGTCGGTAGTGGTGACTGAGGTTTCGACAACCTGGGCGGAAGTCATCATCAGAGTCAAGTGAAAGGTTGTTGTCAGTCGAATGTACTTAGTCCGGTTTGGGTACACTGATTGGTAAGACTCAAGTGGCGTAGGTCAGTCGTGATTGGTCGGTTTGAATCCGTTAGGGAAGTTAGGTCGTTCTGTTCGGTTCGCTTGTAATGTTAATGTCGTGGATGAGTCGTTTGTATGGTGCCGGTAGTGGTTGACACCTGTTGAAGGGAGTCTGTTCCAAGTTAGTAAACCAGCTTTCCAGGGTCAGTGGTTGAAAGTAGTTGGTGCTGTAGGTTAGGCATTGCGCAGAGTCCCAGTCAATAGTGTGGTTCGTAAGTCGGTGATGTTCAGCAATGTGATTGTTGACATCGCCTTTGCTCATCGCTCGTTTGTGTTCAGTCAGTCTGGTTGCGAGGTTTCGTAAGGTGTTTTCGTTGGGATAGTTTCTCTTTATGTCACACAACTTGATAGAGAATTTTAAAATGTCTTGTTAGAGGGGTAAAAACTGCTTAAGGGTTTTCAAAAAACAAATTTCTCGAACGTTTTTAAAAAAAGTAAAAATCACTTGAGTCAGGTGCGTCATTTGCAATTGGATTCAACCTTCCCCATCCCCGGCCATCTTTGTTCCTTCTTTGTCTGTTATAGCCCTTTTGTGTTTTTCAATCCTCGTAAAATTTCCATTTTGCAGTTTCCTTTAACCCGTTGAGCTCTTGAAGTGACTAGCATACAGTTTCTCCTTAAAATATCACCCCTAAGTCAAACATTAAGGTCATAATAATAAACTATGTGATCGAAGCTCTTGATTGTTCGACAAAATTCTTGTTTGTACAGTAGGAAATACATATAGATCATAATGGAGAATATGCATACTGATCAGGGTCTTAAGGGTTGACGCGTAGGTAATCTCGCATGAAACATAACTCGTAGAAATAGGGTCCTTTCCGTTTGAGTGTTAGATGAAATAAACAAAAGTAATCACATCAGCCAATCAGAAAAAGGGTAAATACCAAAAAGAATCTGTGAGAACACAAAGTATTGACAAGCAAACTGCCTGACTGAAGCGCGGGAAAACGCGTGCCCGCGAAGGCGTGATTGATTGGTTCTGATTGTGCGGTAACGCAAGCTTTTCAGACCAATCACAAAGTAAAGTAGAGAAAAACCAAACGATTCCAAGATTATTTTAGACACTCAATTGAAATTTTGTCTAAAACTAGTCAATAGAAGACATAATTTTCAAGGAGTCGATTTTTTTAATCTCGAGTGTAATATTTGTAAGCTACATTTGTGACAACAATTTAAGGCTCCTGTTACCAGCCCCACAGAAATAAGCCCCCTCCCCGTCGATCATAAGCCAAACGCAAAGGTATACCAGTCCAATGTTTATGGACGTGATTTTGCCATACAATAACTCAAGCGCTCTAAGTTTTAAATACAAATGATATAGCTATTAAATTCACCTGACAAAGCTAAATGAAAGTTCAGCGGTATGAAACCTATGGCTGCTTTGGAACAATTACAAGGAAGTATTAACTTAATCACAAAGATTTAAGATATTCAGCTAAGGAGTTTTTAGCCCAAGTTACAAACTCTTCATACTCCAGCTGACCATCGTTATTTTTGTCAAACATGGCAATCAATTCTTCGGCTTCTTCATTACTGAGCACCTCCCCGAAAGAAGTCACCACATAACGTAACTCCTCTGCGGAAATGTAACCGTTGCCGTCACGGTCGAAAACCCTGTTGAAAAGAAAAAAAAGAAAAAAAGGCTTTTATTTTAGAAAGAGAAATACATTGGTAATTTTCACAAGATTTTTTTTTAGCAAAAACTTGCACTCTTACATAAGAAGGTTTGTTAATTTGTTTTGTAACACGGCATATGCATGACAATTCTCATGATTGGGGAGGGGAAAGTAGGCTTAAATTCCTGGGCTTGGATTCGCAGGCCCTCTTCCCACAAATTTGATAATATAAAAAATTCGTGTTTAAGTTTCGCCGGTGCACAGTCACCTATTAAACCATCGGTAGCCGTTTATGGGAAAGTTACTGAAACCCCTGTTATTGAGCAGCTGTATGGAGGCGTCTTAGGAGAATCGAACTTTGTTATCTTTGACAATGAAGGCGAAAATGGTGGGATCATCGCGCAACAAAACTATTCAATCTTGTATAGATAATGATTAACACTATTCTCCGGCTGAATGAAGAGAACTTTTTCACATCTATGTAGAATTTAATGCTTTTCCACTGTTAATTATTTTTTCCCTTATTCAAGAGGCTCTTTACTACACCAACGTATTGTTCCTGAGAGTGTCTTCTATCCATAATTGATGCTTTCAATTTTTTTTTCTAAACTTTGCCTTCTATTTTCATTTCGTGCGTTGAAATAATTACTATACGGGTGCAACTTAAGTTAAAATTTCGTTCTCATATTACCGCATCTCAAATAATTTTAATGGCCAGTTTGTGGTGAAAACAGCAGTGTGAAAGTGTGAAAGTGTGAAAGCAGTGTGGCTTTTAATCTCGCCGAAGTTAAGAGAGCCAAAGAGAAAAAGATATTTAAGATAGTTTATGTTGCAAAATGCAAATTAAACTATAGCGTGAGTGCGGCCGAGTTGGACATTGATGTCATAACGATTGGAAAGAAAAAAATCTTTCATTCGGCAAAAGTAATTCATCTTATTTTAGTCTGAATAGGAAGTTGTGTTTGTTGTGAATAAAAGAACTATACAGAAAATCATTCTCACGAAACACTTTTAAGCAGGTGTTGCGGAAGTCGGACCTGAGGCAAATTTAAGACGATCCATCAATTTGAATACACTCTCCGTTTTTAGTTTCCATCAAAACAAGTTATCAAGACGAAATATGCTTGGCTACATGCAGGGTTTCCATAATTGACTTTTGATTCATAAGAAGAAGAGATGTATTATTTTTTTTTTGAGGCATAGGGTCTCAGATGCTAACAATTCCTCGTGCATATTTCCGTCATGTGTGTGCCGATAATTGATTGGTTTTTAAATGAGTACCAGCTTAGTTGAAAAAGAAAGCTGGCTATGTAAAATCTCATTGCAAGTGAAGTAAAATCTGCAATCTTAAAGGCTCGATTAGTTAAAAGTAAATCAACCTATCATAATGCAAATTATACACATAGGGATGTTAAACATGCAAAATATTTCAAATTGCTTTTATGCCATTTAGTGACAGGTTGACTGTATTTGTTTTTCTCTGTTCCAAAGTATACTCGGCGAATTTTGCTGAGAACTTCTCAATATAGCAGGTGAATCATTCTTCAAAAGTGTCGATATCGTTTTCGCAACTTAACCAAAAGTGAACATCTTCCCAATTTATTTAATGAGACATCAGAGAGTGATTACCCAGACAACCGCAGCCAATATTTCGAATCCATTAGAGTGAATTGGCACCAGCTATTCACGTTTATTCATGCAGAATCTAGTTTAAGAAACAAACGTGAAACGATACAACGTCAATAAAATGGACGCTTCCTCGATTTGATTATTGCAACGGGCACAGAGATATTAAACATCCCTTCCACCTACTAAAAGAAAAAAACCTACGAAGTACCTCAGAGATTTGATTTTTCGTTTTCAAGTTCGTGCAACTACATTGAGCTGTAAGCGGAAAATTTAAATTTATCGATATCCATTTACGATCACAACATGCTTTGACAAGAAGCCTACGATATGAGTAATGGAGTTACTTATCTATCACCTGAAAGCTTGTCGCAAGTTTTGTTCCATTTCGTCCTTCCCACATCCTTCAAAATGCTTGGCCATGCTGATAAACTCCTGAAAATCAATAACTCCGTCTTTATTTTTATCAAATTTCTTCAGAATTTCATCTATTTCATGATTGCTGGCGTTGAAGCCGATTGCTCGAATCAAGCTGCCAAACTCTGCCTGATCGATTTGGTCGTCTGCATTTCTGTCAAAAATGTTGAACGCTGTTCGCATAATGCGAAGTTCTTCGCTTGTGAGTTGGGTAATCTCCACCGTCATTTCTCTTACTCGAACATTGATAAAATCAACGATTTTCCTGGCAAGACACGAAATGTTTTTTTTTGTCGAAAAGAGGTGAGTTTAACACGCCGTCGACCGCCTTGAAGGTGCTAATTGAAAGCTGAAAAAAAAAATTTAGTCTCTATCCATTCATAAAAGCTTAAAAAGTTCTTCCTTCTGAGGCTCTCGAGGAAAAAAATAGAAACCAAACTCTGCGCGGGTTGTTTTAAGGTTTCCGAAAGGCTCTCTACGCCAGATGAAAAGTAAAATTCGTAGTTCCCTAAAGGCGCAAGGTGTTGTTCGGAAATGTGTTACTTATTCGCGCCACTATAATCAATTGCGTTTCCATAACAACTGCTTGAAGTGGTTTGTCAAACAGATCACCCAACGATTGCCCGCCGGTTAACCTGAAAAATATTTGCGATCATCAGCGTCCAAAGGGCTGGGGCGTTTTGAAAGTCACATGGCAGGGGTCCATATAAACAACTTATCTATCATTGTGATGTTCAGACGGGTGATTGTCCGGTTGATGTATATCAAGATGGCAGGCTTTAACGGTGCAATTTATTAAAGGCATTACCTAGGTGATAGTTGATGTTATCTCTGCGTAGCAGAAGATCTCCTGTTTAATTTCAAAATAGGATACGAAAAAACAATGGCCTGCGATCGTGTAGGCGGGTAGATGAAGAGATTTTAATCTCGATTCTAGAGAAACGCTTTCCCCGTGCGTATGTCAAATCTCATTTAAACGATATATCATCCTTGATGAAATAAAATTGATGTACTCGTAAGGGTGGAAAATGAATTTAACCGCCATATCCCCATAATAACTGAAAAGAAGCTCGCATGCTTAACGAGGGCGCCATTGTCTTCTGATCTCTCATTCAAGCTGATAACAAAAATTTAAAAGTAAAAAAGGGGGCGGATGAGACAAACACTGAATAAAAGAAAACCACCGAGCTTTGAAATCTAGTTTTTCTACGATTCCATTAGACGGAAATTGATTTTCGAACAGCTGAAGAAAAATATTTATGAAAGCATAAAAGCTTTACATTATGGTGAGCAACACTGATATTATCACTCACGTTCTCACTTTTTCTCCTCAGGAGGGGAGGGAGGGGAAAGAAGAGGCTCACCACCCAATCATACTTCAGCTTCAAAACGAGGTTGTAACCCTTCTGATTGAATCCGAGCAAAGATAGAGTAATTCCGTGTTCAACCAGCTTGTGGAGACGGGAATTGTCTCCCCAGCAATCTGCAAGAACGAGTTTTGGACTATGAGACTCGAACTACTTCGACATGAGGCTTTTACTATGCCCTCGTTCCCATGATCTCCCCTAGTTTCTCCTTATTGTCTGCCATAAAATTCTTATCGTGTTTGTTCGGAGAATTTGGTATGGGATCAGCTTAAAATCTCCTAATTGATATTTTTATTTATTCTCATCGTTCATCGCTTGTCTGCTTGATACTGCACTTATATTTAGGGGGTGGCGAAGACTTTGATATTTGGTTGTGTGACGGTAAAATCTACCTGTTACACTCACAAGGCTCTGCGATATTCTTGTGATCCCCAACCCTCATTGGCAATCAATTTAATAAATTTATTCCGTCAATCTATTGTCACTCCTTTATACTCTGTTGGCGACGACTGATCCCACTTCGCTCCCCTTGAAAACCATGTGATCCTCAAAATCCTCCCCCCCCCCGGAAGATGAGGTCTCTTACAGCAAAAGTACTATTTCTCATGCGCAATTTTGTTCTTCGCACATACAAGGGCATGCCTAGCGGTATAGACTTCTGACAACAATTTGCATTGTTAATAATCGTTCACAGCATATTTGAGTTCCTGCATAAAAACGTGACTTGGTGTAATTCACCTGGAAAGAAAACCACGGTATCTGATTGGCCACAGAGGTATAGGACTGACGTGTAAGCAACAGGGCCTGTCTCCTTGGAATATGACCTCCAACGCTTCCTCAGAGCCTGTCTTTTTATCGAGAAAAACCCCGTCATTGTCAGAACTGCTCCGGCAAATCAGTCATTTCATAAAGCAAATCCCCCGTGGACCCTTCTCATTTCTGTGAGGAAATAACCCTTTTGAAGAGCACAAGAAAAGCAATTCAAATCCTCAGTAGGAACATAAACATCTTTTCTTTTCATTGTTTGTCCTTTCAGTTCGAACATTTGCATATCCCTGAAAAGGGTCTATTGTGAAAGAAAACACAATACGTTTTAAAAAGGACCGCTCGTTTTGTTCACTTCAGACTAAGACAGACTAAGAGCTAGACCGCCTTTTTCTGTAATAAAGTATATTTTTAGCATCAGTTTTGAAATCATTTTATTATTATTACTCAGATGTTTCTACCAAAGATTTTTCCAAGGGATTTTAAAGTTTTCCACCGCAGTTGATAGTCGTAGCATCAATCACTCTCCAGATTCCAATCTATCTGATAATTGAAGCGATTTATCAAGAGCGCTTTTAATAAACGCAGGAAACTAAAAAACTAATCTATAAAGGCACCAACTACCGCAATATCTCGTGTTATTACCCTAACAGCGATCTCCCTCTGGTATGCAATCTCTCTGCTGGACATATCAACGAAATTGTGAGAGTTCTCTCGTATCACATCGAAAACAATAATTGCAAATCATGTCAAAAAGGCTTCAACTATCGCAATATGCTGATGTATAAGAAATAACATGAAATTGAGAGCATTCTGGAAAAGATAAGAGCTAGCAAATTGTTCGAAGACCACCATTCCTTCAAAATTTTAACAGAGCCTTTTTTACACCAAACTGCGCGAGTAATAAAATTTGCGACTGGTAAAAAATACATATCATGTTTCAACTTTCTGCACCTTTAGGTATTATTTGGCGGGCTCTCAGGCAATAATTATGTGTATATTTTTGCTAGTTTATTATCATGATTGGTTTAACTGATCTTCTGATTAAAAAGAGGTGCGCGTCCGATTGGTGGATGGCCACCGCGCGTATAGGTGATCATAGAGCTGAAGCACTAAATTTCAAACTGTCCGCCGCGCAAGTTGTTAATGTTTCTGAGGATGAAGAAAAAAAATGGATTGAAAGAAAATGCAGTTTCTATGATAATCAGCTTAGTAAGTATACTGACTGACTGTAGGCTCGGAGGATATCCGATGATTCCACCGACTACTTGTCGCAAATTGTCGGACAATTTGCGACAAGTGATCATCGAATTATAAAATATATTTAGCAGGGTGCAAAAGTTTAAACTAAAAGTGATCACTATTGTTTCAATCCACCTATCCGAAATTTTTTTTTTAACTTTTTCTTTTTCATCTCTTTTTCGGTGAACAATCACTTCGATCTTTATCTAATTTCAAAGTACTTCCTCGTATCTCTTTGCCTCACACTTACAGTTGTCATGAAAAAAAAAACGAATAAAACCCACACATTAATAAAATTCTAGTTCAGAAAAGTGGTGTGAAGAAACTAAAAGCTGAAAGACAAATTTCACACCGAGCCGTGAGTTCGTTCAGGAAAATGAAAAAAAATTCCAACAAAAGAGTTTGCAAATTTAATCAAAATAGAGCTACTATGACTGCATATGTTAAAATCCCCGACGGAGGGAATATGATAATATTAAAAAGCACTCTGTAAACCTGACAGACAAAATAAAGCTTGATTTATGGAAGTAGAATTTGGTCATCCTAACTTTGCTGCAAGGCAAATAGACGTAATTAATCGCTTGACACAAAAATAGAAATGTTTACCTAATACTTTTACACAAACCCTCCCCTTTAAATGACAAAAGAAATCAGATAAGACAGGGGTTTTGAATGTATTCAACATCAAGTTCATTGTAATACGTGTTGATGAAGGAGGCGACCGAAAATTTTGAAATGAAAGACGTTGAAAAAAATATTTTGCTGTACCAAACAAACCTCATTATGTTCGTCTATTCCGAAAATATTATTCTTCCTTCGACAAATAACCTGATTATGATTTTTAAACAAAAGGCGAGAGCCATCCTTGTGAATTATTCACAGACAAAATAATGGTGAGATATTCGCTTAATAGAACTCGAGTCCTAAGTGACAACATCAGCGCTTCAACAAGCGAGTTGTGCCTCTGTTTCGTTCTCAGGTTTGACAGTTTATTGATCAACACTAACTTTATGATTCGCAAAACAGAAAGGAAACTTTGCAGGTTACTATCAAATTAGGTCACGGTTGTATAACTTCATTTAGCAAGTTTAGAACTGATTAATTTATTACAACCAGAATTCCGCTTAATTAAAAAGACACTATAGAACTGTAAATGAGGAAGTACTATTCGTTGCATAAACAAATAAAATCTCCTCCCCGCGTGAATAAATTTTTCCCCTATCAAAGTGTACCAAGTTCAAAAAAATATTTCTCATCGGACTGTCACAGCTGATCACGGCAATCAGTTTATTTTTCGCATTTCCTAGGAAGTATTTTCCGCTGATGCAAATGACCATTTGATCTAAGAAGCGATCGAACAAGAATGCCTTGTTGTCATTGCGCGTTTAACACTTGGCCCGCGTGCCTAGCTTGGCCAATCAGCGCGCCTCTGTATATTGGGAGGAAAATAATGGATTGCAAATGTTGTCAGATGAGGAGCAAAACTTAAGGATCACTGAACCAGCTGGTATAGTCGGTGTTTGATGTTTCGCTCAGGCAGTTGAGAGCTCCTCCTCTAGGGCGAGAAGTGTGGTTGGCAGCGCTTCGACCGAAAATGGCCACTGTTATTCCGGACGACGTGCAGTCTTTTAAAGCAGCGTTCGAAGTTTTCGACCATGACAAAACTGGAGAAATAAGTTACGTAGATTTTCCAAACGCAGTTCGAGCCATTGGCTTCAACCCGACGAACAACCAAGTGGTCGAGGTGCTCAAAGCTGCCAACAAGGGCGAAAAAGATAAAATTAATTTTGACGAATTTGTAGACATGTTAGGGAAGTTTAACGAATGCAGGAAGGAGGACGCCGAGGAATCACTCCGCGAAGCATTCAAGTTAGTAAGCAAAACTTTGTCTTCTGTTTTTTTTTCTTCTTACAGTTTCCAAATGTTTTCCCTTAATTGTTGCTGTTATTTGCATGGAGATTTAGTCGTGTACAGAATATGCCAAAAACAACGGTGTTAATAGCGCGCCAAGTGGAATAGATTTCTTTTTCGCGTCAGCTCAATATTTTACTACGGTTTTAAACTTTCGCTCGCTGCGTTTCAACTCAAAATCAAGCCGTGAGGAACATAAAACCGCCTCGATTTTAAATATTTTAAATAAAAACCTACCAATTTACCAAGGTTCTGGAAAAATTATAACGAACAGCTCAGCTTCTGATCACTCATCACTGGATGTCAAAGAAGACTTGCATTTTGCATTTAACGTTTGGCGCCGATCGACTGATTGGACCAAAATTAGCTTGCACTAAAATTTGACAACTTAAAAGTTTGTATGACGAATGGAAGGTCTATAAAAAAATTCTCGACCAATGTAAGGCCTCTGATTATAAATGCGCATTTAGCTCATTTGTGCTTTAAAACGGCGGGCGATACCGATTTTAACTATCAACACCCTAATAGAGATTCATTTTTCGCCAGCAAATTTAGACAGCCAGAATTTAGATTAAAATGTATAGATGACAGAGGAGTTGGTGTGCAACCATGGATAAAATAAATACTTTGCTCTCATACGTTTTCCAATTTTCCTTGGTTGTGTAACTAGGAAAAAAAAAATGTCCTTATAGACTGTCCGCTTGGAAAGCGACATTTACGAGGTTATGACTACCGAAGAAGCGTGTGAATTTAACTACAAAATTTATAAATAGTAAAGTTTCACGTGCAAGTTGCATCTGATTACATTAGTTTCGTTCTGAATCGTTAATTCGACAACCAGACGACAAAAATAGCTCAAACGCACGGAGATGGACGCAGAGGGCTTAAAAACCTGCTTAAAAATTTAATCGCTTATGCAACTCTGCCTCAAATCTTTTTTTCTCTTCCTCGTCTGTTCTCAACCGAAAGCTAAGAGAAAAATGGAGAAAAACGAATAACATACAAACACGATTTCAAGTCGTCGTTACGCTACACCTGCCGAACGGACGCCAGATGCTTGTTTTTTTGCATGTTCTAAGCCCTTTTTCGACATAAAAACTAAATCAACGAACTGACAGCGACGCCACATATTTTATAACAAGTTCTCCGTTTTCATCGTAACATCAACAAATATATAAGAAACTAAAAAGTAAAAGATATATTTGGAACATTCCTCGTTATTTTCATGCGGTGTTTTGAAAAATTAATTTTTTTTTTTAGCTGAGCGAATATACATAACGGTTTTTTCGAAGCAATAGACTATATATAATAATCATGATCTTCCTCTAAATTCTCTGTTTTTCCATTCAAGAACCGCTACACGATGTAGATAAGAGAGCCTATTGCTTACGGCAAGTTCGCCGCAAAAGTTCGATCTATATTTGTCAATGTTGTTTTGCCGTGGGTTTTTTGTTATTATCATAAATTTTGGAAGCTAAAAATAGCCTCACCACGGTACGCTTCGTAGATCTTTTTTTAGCTCGCTTCTTAAGATGTCCTCGTCAGCTAGAGGTAAATAAATATATGTAAAGTTTAATATACCCCCTTTACGAAAAAATGAAAAATAAGAATAATCTTGATCCCAGGAGTTAGTAGAGTATCGTTTGCTTCCTTGCCACACTTGGCTGTGAATATTACACGTGTTAATTAAGCGGACCGTATATTGGCCAGAGTGTGAACGAAATTTCCAAAAATATACAACCCTCGATTCACACAGGAAAGATCTGTAATTATAATGGATTAGTGTCTTTGTTTGAGTTAAATGCGGAAATTTGAACTTGGATCCGATGGTCCGAAGTCCACACCAGAAGTCCAATCTATCATTGGGCAGAATGCCTATTCTTCTCGCGACATTTACTTGCAGTGGCGAAAATGCTATAGATCTGTAATATAAGCGGCGAAGCGTAAACAGGGAGGCTCTCATTGCTCGCAGATCACGCGGCAGGATATTTGATTTCTACTACATCAAGTATAAACATCTTTTCCCGACTCGATATTATATAACAAAGTCTACGAAAAAACATATTGCATCGTAAATCAACTTTCATTTAAGGGTATTCTCTGTTACAAGAGAAAACGGAAGGAAATAACTCACCCACACCGGACTTATTTTAAAATACTCTTCTCAATATTGAGAGCATTCACAGTCCATAGGCTCTGCATGTTAATGAAAAAGGCTAAAAGGCAAGAAAGAAAACCCTATGGTATTATTTTGCAAAACAGGATGCTTCTAAATACATTATTCAACATTTTCAATATTGAGCCTCGTTAATCAGTAGAGCGCAAAATGTTAGCCACAACTCCGGTAAACTTCGTGAAAAAAGAGCTTTTTAGATTGGACATGTTTATATCAATAATACAAAGTCTCCATGTAAACGTACAACCTCCCACTTTAGAAAGAATCGCCCCCGCAAAGAGACATCCTACAAACGTGATTTAGCGAATTCAACTACAACTGCCTCCCTTCCTGATTCATTTAACCTTATCTGATAAATTCTAAACAGGTACATCTTTAGAAATACCTTATTTGCATTTACCCTTGAACTTTCGTGGTCCATTGAGAAATTCTCCCTTCCAGCTGTTTATATTTCTTCGAAAATCAGAGCGGAGAACTTGTTAATATACCAAGGTAATAAGTTTCATCTAATGGCGTTGTTCATCAGTCTCGTCACTGTTTGCTGGACAACGAATTGAGAGCCATGAAACGCTCTGCACAGGTTTCGATCTATTAAAACTTCTACGTGACTTTTAATTTTAGATAACAATTTTTTATCCACTTGAACTAAAATTATTGTTTTTCAACGACAGCACGTACGTTCGTTGCATTTTAAAGCTCTTGAAAGAAATTGACAATAAACATATTAGCTTCTTTTTAAGTTTTTCCACTCTTGTGACAGTCATTATTGTCAATTTTTCAGTGTAAGCTGTGTGCGAGACGGAATGTAGGTTTGTTTCTTTTTGTAATCAAACTTTGTTACAGATAAGCACAGAAAACGAAAAATTTTCGCTACAGCCCCGAAAGATGTGACAACAGAAATTAATTACTTCGAGTCGGGATCGGATATGGAGGAAAATCGGCATATGTCGTCTTGGAAAAAGAGTGAAACGCGCAACTCTTGAGTGGTAGAACATTGATATGGAACGGTTAAGGCCTACAAACGCTGGGCTCGATCGCGCTACTTCGCAGAGACAGATCGAATTTTGTCGATGCGTTCAGTCGCGAGAATTCCAATTCCAATTCCATTGAATTTGTAGAATTAACTCCAATGATAAACGATTGTAGCAGAAACAAAATCTTTCACGAAAATAATTCCTAGCACACAAGACGAGTTGTAGCTGTGACTAGCTATCGCGACGTGTTTGGTAGACTTGTTGTAAAAGCTGTACACAAGGAGCACCTTTGACGCAGAGACCTGCATTTGATATAGATTTCAAATCACCTATTAAAAGGTAAAAAACACGCAACTTAGTCTCAAATGACGGTATTTTGTTTCCATCGATCCTTAAAGAGGTAGCATTAAAACTTTCCTTAGTAATTGTTTACTCAGCAATCTTTCCGATTTCCCTATTCTCGAAGTGACGACCACTTCGCATGCGCACATATTCTTGATCCCAGGTCTCCCATCAATTCTATAAGCCGACGTCTTCTTTTGCACTACAGGACTCTGGGAACAAAATTTCTGATATCACACATATTTGTCGTGTTGCAGGAAGTTCGACCGTGACGGTAACGGCTACATATCCCCGGATGAATTACTGTACGTTGTATGTAACAGCGGCGAGAAGCTGAGTAGAGAAGAGGCAGAGGAACTCATCGGTATGTTTGACAAAAACGATGACGGCCAGTTGTCTTGGGAAGAATTTGTGGAATTCTTTAAATGCGACAGAGAAGCTACAGAAGGTAACGTGACCATCCCGGAAGAATCTTCCCAAGAAGAACCACAGCTCATTTAGAGTTGTCAGATTTAAGGTTTTGTACCACAACAGTCACAGTTAGTCACACAACACTTGCGATCACGCTGGTCAACTTCGCAAAAAAGGATCAAGTAGTGACTGTTTCGAAATCACAGATATTTATTTCAGAATGACTCCGCAGATATCCTCATGACCGATGGTGAAATTTCAAATTATTTCAAGCTTTAACACAGTTATAATTTACGTGACAGATCTCATGCATGAATTGAAGTTCCTTCAATTCCTCAGTGGCTTCAAAACCTTATCACACCGAAAAGATTTCTCTTTTCAGGGAAGTTTTTTGATTTGTACATAGCTTGTAACATGATCCATTGGGTTGACCGCCTCCTGTTCATGTACGTATACTTTAAGAGCAACTTCACAGTGAAAATCTGCACCTTTTTCAATTTGATATTATATAAAGAGTTGAGCTATCTATTTTCGGACAGACTTGAAAACTGCAGCAACTTGTCTGAGCGTTCCCAGCGATTTGTTATCCCAGTGTAAAATGAAAAGAAACAACAAGCTTTATCACATCTTTCTTGCATATCGTTCTTGCAAGTGATGAGAACTTTCCAACAATCCTTCCCAAATGGTCATGCAGTGAAGCGTTATTTGCCAAAATTTAGTTTATGGAGGTTGCATAACAATGGCTTCTGTCTCGCCACAATGAAACAAACCTCCAAGCCCTGAATTTCCAGCCATGTTTACTTAAACTACCCTTTACTTCACGCGAATAACTGCACGATTAACGCATACGGGGTTAACTTACTGCACGCTTGACGGCGCGCAAATAGCTGAACGTTAGCAAGTCCACGCTTGACAGCACGCCAATAACCGCAGACCTTACTGTGCACATGACTGCGAGCATTACACGCTTAAGTGCCCTGCACCTGCTTAGCTACCTACTAAACTGCACGCTGCAATGTCACCCGCTTGTCACCGGTCATACAATTTAAATACAAACTAAGCTAAGAAAGAGTACCTATGTAAGAGAAAATCCTAAACATCGATAGAAGACTTGCTGCTTAAATCCGATTTGAAAGGAATCAACACCGGTTCGACTTCTTCCTTAATAAATTTGGACACCTGCAGGGAAAATGGGATAAAGTGTAAGTTCGGCGCAATTGATTCTGGGTAATCAGGCTCAGCCATAAAGTTGATCAATGGGTTGTCAGTCGATTGGGAGTCCAAAGAATCAAAAGTCATCTGAGCTCTGTGATTGGTCCCCAAAATGCCCCGTTAATTTACGATCATTTCCGCGTCGCTCTTAGTAAACCTTCATATCACACAGAAAATAATGTTAATGTCAAATCAAGGAATGACTTTCATGACTCGCTTTTAAAACGAGGCTAAGGGGAACCTAAGACATGAACGACAAGTCAATCGATCGTTTGAAAGACTACACCAAATAGTGACCTATTAAATCATATTTTCCTTCGCCTAAGCCCAGCGCATTTGTAAGCAACAGCATCCAATCAGCTCAAATATGCTTGGATAATTGTAGCGGAAGTTTTCTGTTCAGAGAAGCAAACTGACAGCTTTCCAAGATTTTCGAGGGCAGACCGACAGTTTTGGCAACGGATATTGCCCAGCTGTATTCGAGGCATATTCCGTTACGTTCAGAACAATCGTGGTCGAACCATAACATTTGGAGAATTGTAACTCTTATAAGTCTACCCTATTCTTTACCTCACCTTTATTGGCAACTATTCTATGACAATCAATTTGTAATAGCTTGATTTTTTAATCACAAAGGCATATATTTTCTTAACTTAAATTCTGTGCAAGAGCTGGGACTTTATAGGCACTTGAACTTCTCATTTCACATATCATCGCAAGGCATATCAAGAGTAGGAAAAAATAGAATGCAAAAAAAACGTGTATCGAATGACTTTCAGCAGGGTGGATTACTGTTTTTCCCTTTTTCCCCTCATAGCTTTTTACTTCTCAATTCCATTCCTTCAAAAACAAGGCTTTTCTAACCTGCTGGGGTGCACGCCCCACAAACGTACTAGCATCCAAGATGACGTCCAGCTGATTGTGAATTGGAGCAAAGTATTCACATCTCCTGATCCTGTCAACCAAATCATTGTCACCACCTTGCTCCTTGACAACCGCCCCAGACTCCTGGGACAGAACGCGGATCTTCTCGTGACACTCCTGTCAGATGCAAAAGTAAAGAGAATCGATTGAAAGCAGGCTTCTTAAAAAAGTTAGAATGGAAAAAAAGTTATGCACGACTTCGTCATAAAGTCTGTTTTGGTAAGAGAATATGTTTTTATTTACAACAATAACTTGTCACGGTAGAACTTTCCGTCAAAGCTTCTAGTCCTTCGAATCTGATGCAAAAGTAAATAAAATCGCTCAAACGAATGTCGTCTGGTGATGTTATAATAAAAAATGTCATTATCGACCAAGTTTCCATGAGTTTTTCGGAGCAGGAGAACAAATTGCCTTTAAAGTATAATCACTGTAGCAGCTTACTGAAAGATTAAGGTTGCAAGAGAATCAAAAGTTTTTTATGCATCAGCAGTCAAATAGAAGGTGGGGGGAGGGAGGGGTGATTAACACTTCAAGAGCTCTTATCCTAAAATTGTACCGACTCTGGAAGTGATAACCAGGTGCTTTTTTATGCCTCAACAGAGAGGGGGAAGGAAGTGAGGTCCAATGCAACCCAGGGCGCGCATCTTCCGCCACGTTACCTTGGTAATAGGCACGAACCTGTCTATTTCCCCCTGCTTTCACCGTTGCCATTATGATATTTTCAGACGCCATGAAAGGTAACTCCTGTCGAATATGGCGATCAATAACCTACAACAACAACAACAACAAAAACAAGGACGAAATGTTAAAACAATTCCAACTCCTCTAACCCCTTGGGTTTAATCAGTTTTCTCTTTTCTGGCTTCCCACGTTACTAAGTAAATAAGTTCATTATTTGGTGTTATATCAAATAAAACTATCTAGCCTACCTCACTATTATCACTTCGGCACGAGTGTTTCTTCGCCCGAGGAAAGTATAAGGCACAGCCTTCAGCAACGCGAGTCGGCGAGAGGTCTGCCAGAGCACTGATAATGAGGCAAGGTACCAGACTCCTGGCAAACCTCTCCTCGCCTCGTTTCAATTCTCCCCGCGGGCGGAAAAACGCGCGTCTGGGAGCAGTCACAATGAAGGTCTGCTCTCAAGCTTAAAACTCTTCAGCTGACGAGTCTGTCAATTCTCAGCACTTGTTTTCTGGATAATATATCGACATTGTTATGAGAAGTTAAAGTTTTATCTCCACTGGGAGTTTAAGGGTTAAACAAAGTCAAACTGTACATCTTGTTAATATCAACCTAAGTATTTTTTAATTTCAGGCTAATGTAACAAAAAAATCATTTACAATGCGACAGCTTTGCTTAGAATATTCGTTCTCACCTTGGGATAAACCACCAAACCCTCTGAAACATTTTGCAATGTACTAAGCAAAATATCAGCTGTAAGGAATGCTTCAGCTAAACTTATTCTCCTGCGAGATTAAAAAATTATAGTCAAAATTTTAGAGGCCATTTTTTTTTTTGCGTTTTTCGGACGCGCTTGCCTAGCGCGAGGGGCGTGACGCGCATACAAGGAGAGACGCGCGCTCGAGCAGATAGAAACGAGCGAGAGGCGAGACACACGCGAGAGGAAGAACGAAAAAAGGAATCTTTTAGCGCTCCTCCCTTCGCGTATCCAGCTCTTTAAATTCGCCTCCACCCGCCTAAAAAACGTAAAAATTGACCCTCGTTCAACAAGTTAAATATTTTCTTTTTCCAGCTTAGACTTTGTGATCACTTTAGCTTTATCTTTGTAATACTCGATTGAAATGCGCGCTCATGAAGCAATCATCATGTCAGTGTAATGACCTGTTAGCGCTATCGTCCAGTGTCCTCTCCAGCCATTGCGTAGCTGCTGTCTGCTGTGCATCTCCTACAAGCACCATTAAATGACGCGCAAGACTGCAGCATCTTTCACTCCGCATTGGATTCCGTTTGTAAGGCATAGCACTGGAACCTTGAACACACAACAAACATCAAATGAAAATCTGGCCGGCAAAGTGATGCACCAGAACACTAACTAGCTAAGTCTAACTAACTAAGTCTATCTATTTAGAGAGTTACAGCGACCTAAAATAAATCTGCCATGAAAAAATTCTCTCAATTATTGAGACATCTATTAGGAATAAGGGATTTCAGGTCTTTTTAGATTTTCTAGCTAGCCAAAAATCAGAGCTAGTTTTCATTTAATGTCTAGGAACACTTAAAGTGTATACCTACCAATTTGATCTTTCTCAAATGGTTCCTCGATTTCTTTTTGATTTGCTAGAAGCCTGATGTCTGTACATATCTAAAACAGAAAAACAGTTTCAGTTTGAAAGTATCAGGTTAAAGGATTCACTGCACTCAGTGTTACGTCAACGGCTGCTTAATTCACTTTATTGTGAATTGGCTTCCAGTAGTCACTGTCTGTGCAACTTTAAAACATAACTAAAGGTTTGCTAAAATGCTAAGGTTTAACAGTACAGCATTAACCAATGAATCAATAATCAAATCAATAATTTATTTAACCACGTTATCGTCTAGGAGCACAAGTGCTCGTTCGAAATACGAACGTGCATTCAATCTACAATTACAATAAAAAATCTAGTATAAAAAGAAAAAAAAAAGAAATTTAAATAAATAATCTATAATCTACGTACACTCAAAAAAAAATTTAAAATATAAAAAAATATATAAAAACATTACAGCTGAATTGATCTTAGCTTAGACTTAAAAACATTAACATCATCGGCCATCTTGACATCTTCCGGAAGTTTATTCCATAGTTGAGCACACTTGTAAGTAAAAGAGTTTCTCATAAAATTAAGATTAAATTTGAGGACGCAAAGACAAACACCATTTCCTCTTAAATTGTAAGACGTTTCTCCTATGCTTAAAATGTCTCTAATGTATTTCTGCCCTATATTCCTACTGCATTACACAGAGTTGTGATAATACCTTGTGAACTGATGCTCCTAGGCTGCTCAGAGCTGATAGACAGTCCAAGTCCACTTTACGGCTGTATGTTTGCCCTGTAACAATGTAGTGACTTTTAAAACCAGCCATTTCTGTGACCAGTTGGTCAAGTTGTTCCACCTGTGAGATTAAAAAAAGAATCATTGGAAATCCTCAACAAGATAATCTGCTAGGAAGATCTTTCAGCCAGAAATCAAGAAGACCAAAAAACAGTTTAAAACCATGAAACTGAATCAAGAAAATCTAAAATTTATGTTACTCATCCATTGACAAACCCTTTCACTGGCTAGATCAAAATATTAAATCTCCTTTCCTTCTGCCATAAATGTTTTATGATGTTCTTTCTGAGAATTTGATAGCAGTGAAATACTCTCAAGTAGATATCATTCTTTTTTTCTCAGTACCTATCTGCTTGATATCAATTTGAAATTGTAGGGAGAAATCAGACTTTGGTCTCTCCTTAGAAGGTAATAAACAACTGGGTGCACCGGAGTGACTCAAAAGAATAAACCAAGAGAACATAATGGCTACCTTCTCATGATCACCATCAAACAGAGTAAGGAAGCTGGCCTGAGTACCCGTTGTTCCTTTTACTCCTCTGAATCTTAAATCATCACGAGCCCTAGTAAGATTCCTCAGGTCCATTAGGAGATCTGACAGCCAAAGACTTGCCCTCTTTCCAACAGTGGTGAGTTGAGCAGGTCTGAAGATAAAAAGATGAAACTACAACCTCTACAATCACTTATCACCTTTGCTCCAATAAAGGCCTAACACTCAAAGCGTCAGCTTTAGAGACTCTTTACAATGGCCAATGTACATTATCAACTCAGTTGATAAACCCAAAATTCACTCATGGAAAAGTCTGACAATAGCTGCCCAAGCTTTGAGTTAGAATGCAAAAAAATGGACTCCTGCAGGTTTTCAAAAGTCCTCACTCATGCAGAAATATGTAATTTTCCTTACAAAAAAACCACTTAGTGGTAAACCTGGACCAATTTTTCCCACCATTTCTCAACAAAAGAAGATGTAGTAAAGAAAATTAATTTTTTACCATCATTCAGTCATAATGTTTTTTTCATTTCCTTCTTGTTAATTCTGAGAAATATAACAACTTTAAAATTAGTGCTTCTGCCAAATAAGTGCCCCCTGCCTGGAATAACCTCTGCATCTGAGTTGCAAAAAAGTTTGATGCATATTGCAGTCCTTACTATTAAGTTATTAAGCCAAATGCTTCTGGATGTAAATATTAGTTAGGAAAAAAAGGTGGTTGCTTTTGCTTTCCACAAATGTGCTTTTTCAAAAGCAGCTAAATACTGAACTTACTGAAAATGTGTATAACCAAGTGTAGGAATTGACTTGTTTTTCTCCGCAAAGTCTGATAGCCTCTCTATGCATCTGGCAAGCTTTAGATAAATGAACAAATAAATAAATATATATAGTAGCAAACACATTAACAGAATATGATCTACAAATGCAAACTTGATATGAGACTATATCCAAGTACTTCATTAACTGAGAACTAGTGGATGAAAGTTTATTGTGGACATTATTAATGAATACTTGCTGCATCTCTCTAAATTAGTATTGTACCTGCAAGTCCCTTGTTATACATAAAAAGCATCAGTTTCTAAAGACACTCTTGTACAGTGCTGATGAGTAAGTGGAAAGCTTGATTCATTATTAACGAGAATCTGATAAAGATCTGTAGAATGCAGTGGCACATTTTGAAAAGGTGATTTTTTGAGCATTACCCCATTGCTCTGACCAGAGAGTGAATTCCTATTATATTACTGTGCGTCAAACAAAGAGTACAGAGATTTAAGCATGAATCTTACCTTTGGGAGTAAAATATTAAAAGCATCCCTTATAACAATTAAGTCCTAAAAAGAGATTCAAGAAAGGTCTTTTATTGAATTGCTTGAGTTCATTCAGAACTATGACTATGGAGGAAAAAATGTGCCTAAGCATGAATACCCTTGGCCTATATCAAGGTGTTTACGGTGAAAAAAACTAAAATACCAAGGAAATCTTATTAAGAGCTTAGTGACCCACATTATTTAAGCAAATACTGCTCATGGCGAGGACTTCTGTAGCTCCATGCCCAAGAATTTGGCTAGTTCCCAAACATTTCTGACATGGAAAAAAAGGGGCAAAACCGTAGTAAAGTGACATTACAAACAAAGAGGGAGGGGGGGGGGGGAGGGAAGGGAGGGGTGAGAGGGAAGAGGGGTACAGGGAAGAAGGGAAAGGCCTCTCAAAATATCAGTAACTATGCACAATTTTTAATTCCCTTACATCCTCAACCCTCTTTATTTATCTTGCAAGTTATTTTATAGAAATGGAAAAATAGATTCATTGTCTGCAAATATATGATTTGAAACCATAGCAATAGAATGCTTCAATTAACCCTTTAACTCTCAGATCAAATGTATACTTCTCCTTACTGTCAACCATATAATTCTTTCGATGTTAGTTCAGAGAATTTAGTATTGAATCACCTAATTATCCCCAAATTTATATTTTTTCTTATTCTCATCACTTATCTGATTGATATTGCATTGATATTGTAAGGAGAAATTCTGTCTTGGTCACTCATGGGAGTTAAAGGGTTAAGGGGATAAGGACAATCATACAAGATAAAGTATATAGAACATACATATACCATCCCCCCCCGATAAGTCCATCATAAGACATTCCAGACGTTTGTCTGTAAAGGGTCTAAGAAGAGTGTGTTTAACCCTTTACACCCTAACATCAGTATGCATATTCTCCATACTGTTCTCTATACATTTCCTAAGGTGCTGACGAGGAGAATTAGCTTAACAATCCAGAGCTTCTATTGTTGATCATTTCCATTACTCTCATGACCTTAGCGTGTGACTCAAAGGTGATATTGTAATGAAAAATTAGATGCTAGTCACTTTTAGGGGTGAAAGGGTTATTATCCTCCCATTTGCATTGAAAAAAGTATTCACAATATAATAATGTTAAACATGCTTTTGTGTTACTTCAGCCTAGCAGTCCCCTACTGAGGGTGGGGAAGGGTTTATACATGACATGTGATTAAGCCCAAATCTAATATGTAATGTATTAAATTTACAGAGAGGCAAGGTAAGGTGATATTTGAAGATTTCCCTTTTAAATTCATGATGCATGGAACACTGTTCAAAGTGCATGTGATGCTTGAATTTTTCTAAAATTCAAGAGTAGAACAAGACAAGGATCCCCTCCGTTTCCACCCTCTCTGCTATCATAGAAAAAGCCATCCTGTGTTGTGCTTACAACATTACATTTGCTACTGTTTCACCACACCAGTATTTACACAAAATATCTCTCTGGGAGGTTCAATAAATAAATTTATCCTTTCAAGGAGATGTCTCTCATTTTAAACTCACAGTGTTATCACCAACATAACAAGATGTTGCTCCCAGGTGGATGATAGGAGCAGCCTTTGGACAGCACACACCAAATGTGTGGACATGTGCCATAACATCATGTCTACGTTTCTTCTCCTCAACTGCAGCCAAGCTGTAGTCTATATTTTTCAAGTTGGCTTCCATTTCCTGGATTTGCTCATCTGTGATTTCCAGCCCTAGAGTCTATGGAAAAATCAAGACTCTACTCATGAGAGATTCCAAGTTATAGAGGCTACAATTAAAAGCCTCAACAGGATGAACCTTCAACAAAGTTGCTGTCCTCAAGGAGAAAAAAGTCTGAGATACCAAAAAATAAAGGCACTTTAACGACTGGGACAGCAGGGAAAATATATCTTCCTTTTACTGGAGGGTGGGAATAAACAGAAGAATACTTTGCAAAAACTTGAGTGGAAGGGAGATTTCAAGCCATTAGGTAGAACTAATCATCTAGGAAAGTCAATTTAAAAATGGATATGCATTATTTTTGGAGGGTTTAGCTACTTTCTGAAAACTTTCATTTCACTTAAGGATCCACTTTAGATATTGACTATCCTGGCCAGTCAGTTCCTCCCAACAACAGAAATATCTGATTGAGTGCACAAGCCTAGCCAGCCTGTTCTGATCATGATTAGTGGTGTATTCACCAGCAAGGAACCTCCACGTGAGAGACACTATCAGGAATAGAGAAAGTGTCCCTTAAACAATTAAGAGAATAGACGTAAAGGGGGTATTTTCAGTCTATACCGAAGATTATATCCCCTTAAATAGAGGGGTACCTTGAAATAGAGGTGTTCTAATTACCTGTTTCTAATTTAGGGGGTGCTATAATTCTTAGATAAGCACTAAAAGTACTAAAATTGGGTGTACCTTCTCAGATTTTGCTAGAAAAAGCCATAACTTCCTCCACGTGGAGAACTTCTTGTCCTCAGAGAAATTAAACGCCATTTCAGGACTAGCATATCGACTTGTGAGGGGGCTTCGATACACCGCGTGAACTGAATCTCCCGCCATCTTGGATTCTAGAGACCGCGATTTCACTCCACACGTGTTCTGCAGCGGTTTCCCGTATAAATGTAATGGAGGACAGAGAAGGTGCAGTTCACTACACTTTTGCCGACAATTTAGCTCCGTATTTTTTGCTTGTATTCTCTCCGATCGTCGTTATTTTTTGCCTTGTTGGAATATTTTATACATATCTAACTACAGAGGTGAGTTAATTGACGTATTTTCTTCAGCAGAAAGTAGGAATGCTCGGCTTAAAAATGCATCCTCACAACCCACCTTCACAGTTATCAATGTTCATGTACATACAGAGATGTTTATATGGACATGGCGATGAACTTAAGCGTAAGCTCAGTGCTAGCTTTGATATTTTGCATGAAATACTAAGTTATACACCGGAACACCTGCACTTGTAGCTAGTGGTTTTTTTAGAATAAGGGATGCGAAGTATATTCTGCAGTTCAGTGGACAAAAACATCCATCCCTGATTGAATATCATACAAGACTGCAAGTCAGTGATGCTTGATTGACATTTTGAAGAGGGAGCTCTACTAAACGTTGCCGTCAGGCTGGCTTTTTTTTTCCATTTTGATGTTTTTGTCAATGTGTTAACCCTTCACACCCTGACAATAGTATGCAAATGCAATATTCTCCACACTGATCTCTATGCATTTTCTAAGGTGCAGATTAGGAGAATTTGTTTAACAATCAAGAGTTTCTTTAGTTGGTGATCATTTCTTTTATTCTCCTGACCTTAATGTTTGTTTCAGAGGTGATATTGTAAGGAGAAATTAGATGGGACTTACTCTTAGGGATAAAAGAGTCAAAACAAGAAGAGTCTGAGGCACTTGTGAGCTTTATGCATGGTAGGGCTTACATTAACTTCCACTAGGTAAGGATACATTAACACCTAATGATGGCATATCTTGTTTTTTTTCAGGATTTTCCAGAGTCCTGTCTCAATCAGTACTCACCTTGCTACTTTGGTCTTCTGGTACCAACCTCTATACCAGTGTTTGTGTTCTTCATGTATTTCAACTGGATGGGGCTTAAGTTTTTCACTCATAACTAAACCAACATAAATCTTCCATCATGGGGAAAGTTGCCTTAAAATACTAGCTTAAAGTATGAAAAATATGCTAAGGAAAGCATACCCTGTGTTGTTTGTTCAAGGAAGGGATCAGCCTACAACAAGAGCATGTTTTGTTACAACTATGTCTGACTTACAGGTAACTTTTAGGTGAACAAGCAATCAATGTTTAATGGTGAAAGAAAAATGGTCACCATTACTGAATCCAGTTAGGGAGAGAAGCATGGCTCTTTTAAAAAACTTCAGAGCTACAGATACTATCCCATCTAGCTTGCATTTAGCATGCTTGCATTGCACGTTAGAGAAGATGAGCAAAGAACATCACAAGCTGCAGAAATGACACAACGATGCGCCAAAGTGAATTAAAGCCCTCTTCCTCCTTTAAAAGTGACAATGAAATTCATTCTGGTGAACAATCTTACAAATCTTATCCTGAGCTTTGGTTTGAATGTGTTAAAAATCTCCAAAATAGCTCTTTTCAATTACTTGTTTTTCTTCTGTTTTCTTCTAATACCAGAGATTACTTTCAGTTTTAATGTAATCAGTTACTACCTTCAAAAAGCTGAATATTAAATCAAGACCATGTGATAGGTCAATAAATATAGTCTATAGCTGAACTGAGTCCTCCATCCAATTGGAGCTTGTCCCAGTACCCATAGCATGAAGTAGGGGCAGATCTAAGGGAGGGGTGCTGGGGATGTGCACCCCTCTCCCCACCCCAAGATGACCTGTGACTTTCTGATATAACTTCACTGTTCAAAATATGCTGTATTGTTTGCAGTGTTCTCAGCAGGTCACATTATGTTATAGCCTAGTCATAGGCCTTTTTCTTCATTATTCACTTTTAAAAATTTCCACTTCACTCATCAGTGCTGTCATTCCTTGGCAGTACGCCCCCTCCTAACAAAAGTCCTGGATCCGCCCCTAACAATTCGTTGGTACCTATTTATACTGGTGTATGGGGAGAAGCATGGGGAGAGTAAAGTGTTTTGTCTAAGAGCACAACAAAGTGAATAGGCACAATATCAACAATGTAGTCAACTGTAAGAATTGAGATCTTTGACTAATTTTATTGACAGTTGATGTTTTTCAATCTACTTTTGCATCCTTATCTCTGATCAAAAAAAATAAAAGCAACTATGAAAATTGGCATGTGGAAGGGTATTGTTTTTTTTGTAGTTTTACTATTCCATGAAACAAAATTTGGCGCCCCACCATAAAGACAGTGTGGCTAAAAAGCAAGTAACTGCCCTCTCGAGAGAGAGGATGGCCCCCCGCCCACTATGATCGAGATTTTCTCTTGTTTGGTCTTCAGTCTAGACCAAACTTTACATTGAGGTCTCCTTAGTGGGGAAATGTGCCATCAGCTGATGTTTTTAATGTGCACTTATTAAGTTGTAGAAGACGTGCATCCAAGTTTTGATGGCCAGAACGGAGGCGTTTGAAAGCAAATGAGTTTATTTTTGTCACAGTCCGTTTTGAGACTACGGTCTCCTCTTCACACGGACCCGAGTCATCGTTTCGTTAATGAAATTAGTGAGAAAAGTAAGTTTCTTCAGGGTGATGATAAGAACAGAAAAAACTCTCCATTTTCAGGTCGAAAACGCCTCCTTCACATTTCTCTCCTCATTAGTTACCCAATTCCAAAAGCGCCCACTCTGCGTGAGTAATGCGTGGTATACAGTTGATGAATCATAATTACTTACATGTAATGTAAATCCAAACGTCTCGGGCAATTTGTTTTGGCATATTCACCTGACACTATTGTATGTTTTGGTTTAAATCGATATCAAGTTTTAGAAATGATTTCATGTCAGCTGAGTTTACAGTTGAACATCGTAAAAGAAAAAACATCCCTTTCCCATTTTCCACTCCCCGTATCCGGAGAATTCGTTTTAAAGGGATCTTCTTTTAAAACAAGGAGACAAAACAGCACAAAGAAAAGAGTTGAAAATTTGTTTTAGAGCTGGGGATAAAGATATATCTAGTCTTCTAAGGATTTTAAATCACAATCTTCAAAAGAGTTTCAGAATATGACTTGAGGCCGAAAGAGAATTGACTTCTCTGGCCTCAACGACATTGATTGAAGCGAGCGACGTTGCACAGACGATATTTCACTGGCATTATGTCAAGATTTTTTCGACTCATAGATAAAGTAGACTGATATGCATCGAGTTAATAAAAGCAAGCCAAACACAACATTTTTGTTCCATTTTTTATGCGCAGATCGCAGCCTTGTCATTTTACATAGCGGAATAAGACGTCTCCTGAGGAAACGGCTGTTGCTTTCTTCTGGTAGTATAGAGAGCAGTTCATATCGGGAAGAAGCGTTTTTTTGTGAGATGAAAATAGCTTTGCGTAGAGTTTTCCTGTAGCTTACATACTACACAAATTTTGATGATTATTTTTCTTTTTGCTTACAGACAAAATAAAGATAATTTATTCTTTTCTTTTTCGTTTAAGTCTGGCAGGTTGAAAATCAGCATACATATTTTAAAACCTGATTGCCTTTTCGCTAGGAAACGAAGAATTTGGAATGGTAATTTAGACTTGATCTACAACTGTTGCAAGATATCGAGATGTAATTAGTTTGCTGTTGCGAAATTAGACAAAAATATATCGATATCTTAAACGCAAATAACAGATCGAATCTTCTCGGTGACAAATTCGAGAATACGGCCACTAAAACATTTGATTGAAATATCACTTTTGTGATTAAAAAGCGCTGTATCATTTATTGACCTTGCTGGCGATAGAATCGATTAAACGTATCGATTTTCCGCGTTTAATTTCGTCGGCGCTGATCTCTGACAATGTTGTTACGTTAAGTTAAACAACCTGGCCGCGTAAATCTATAATCTCGTCTAAATTCAAATGAGCGTCGATCATTTGCGTGTTAAATTACTCGAAAAATTTGATACTGATCATTTTTTTTTTATTTTGAGTAAATAAACCAGTAAACCTTTTAGAGTATTGTTGACCCAGGTGCGAAACGCGAAAAATTTCGAAGATGATGTTTCGGGCGAATTAGCAGCTACAGCAAACATGGAAAATGATCTGGTGAGTCGGATTGAATGAAACTTAACAAGACGCAAGGTTTAAATTTCTTTTATTGTGAATGAGACACATTTTGCATAAAGTTCAAGGATGTTACAACACACGAACGTAGAGTAACTTCATTCTCAGGCAAAAAAATTATTTAAAATTTTCTATCTTTGGTATGCCATTAAAACCAAACGCACCCCAACGTTTTTTCTAGTCAGACAAAATAAAGAAATACACTTTGAGATGTTTGGGACAGCGATGAATTTTCCCACAAAGCTGAAAGTTAGTGTGCGAAAACAATTAAGAATTTGCCTTTAATTCGTTTCATTTACGCCGAACAAAATCCATTTTACAAGCTCCACAGCAATGACTGATTCGATTTTCCAAATGCGATAATAATTATGAGAACGGAACATGTGTTGACGGTGCGAACATCCGTGCGTTTTACGACAGTTCTAGTCGGCGTGTTTTCCACTCCTTAGCTTAAGTTTGCGTATCAAATTTGACCTCCGATTTTTAAGAATGCCACAATAGGATTCCTGATGGTTCATTTGGTAGCAGTATTCAATCCCAGAAATAAAATTCCCACGAATAAATTAAGGGCTAAATAATGGAAAGTAGTTTTTGTGTTCTGATACTCAATTGCCACTTCCGCAGCAGTTGTATGTATTCGGCGTTTAACAGATTAATAGTTCTTATCCGAGAGACAAGACCAAATGGGGAAATAATTAAATTCTACTCCGTTTGCTATATAATTTCAAACTATCTCCACCTGTGGAAATCACCTTTCCACCGACATTTTGAAATATTTCAACCTCAATTCTTTATCTTTCTTTGAAGAAAACAAATTAAATCACATTGAAAAATGTTCAGACTCAGTGAAGAAAAACTTAAGCCGCGAAACACATTTTCAATAGGCGAATATTCGACACAAAACCAAAACAAAACGGGCTCATTTCATCTGCCCAGGTTCTTTGCTATTCCAACTAATTTGACCTTTCAAGATTTCCGCAATTAAAAAATTATACTTTGCGGTCTTTTGAGTTTTATTGCTGCCGATATGCGTAGAAAATGAAAATTGAATTTCGATTTTTTGCAAAATACGGGAGTGGCAGAACTCAAGGATTTAGTGAAGTCGCGTAAATTGAATGGAAACATAGTTTCCTTTATCCTCTCTAATCTGCACAGCCTCGTGGCCCTTTAATGCTATTGCAAATGAAATTATTCTATTTCAAGAACGAAATGTGTGTTTATCCATCAGCTGTTGTGTAAAATCTTTGAAGAATACTTGAAAGACGCTAATTTACCTCAGAAAGCAATGTTGCGAATTTGCAGAATATAAAACCGCCGCCTGTAGAAAAGTGAATCAAATTGCTGTCGTGAATACAGATAGCTTGTTTTATGAAAGACCACGGCGGAAGTCAATATATGCAACGATTTATTAACAGAAAAAGGCCAATTCGCGATCAGTGTTGCGAGAAGTAGGGCAGTAAAAGTCAATAAAGATAGGTCTTTTTGAGGTGTGTAAATGGTAACTGTTTGAAACGGTGCTTCGAGAACGCATCTTCTATCAAATAATTCTAGGTCAAAGTCGTTTGTTTTTCCGGCTGGCCTTGGACCGATGGGCAAAACTTGAGTCACAACTAAAAGCGATCAAACTAAAAAAAAATGATGATAATATTTCCGTTTTGAATATCTGAATATTATTTTGTTTAGTCGGATGTTATCAGCAGTGCGCTCCCTAGAAATTATGTTCAGGAGGAAACATTTCGAACTTGAATTAAAGAAAAAAAAGGAAAGAATCGGAAACAAGGTCAAATAGAGAAAGAATATTTTAAAAGTATTTTTGCAGGATGTGGGCGTGTTGCAACCATTTTCTCTCAAAAAAAAATCAAAGGTTGTTACTTGTGACTGTAACAAAGTTTTTTTCGGCCATAATTAATGATGTTAAATTTTTTTTAGTTAAGATATAAATACGAATAGTGTAAGAGTGAAATTTTATGATCGTGAAAAACGTTTAATTTATATGACATAATCAGTTGCTTATAAACTGAGGTACATATGTAGTCAGCGTACGTGACTCACTGAAATAGCCTCCAAGTATTGAAAACAGTTAAAGACACAAATTTGTTAAGCATTGAAACATTTCCATTCGGAATTGTCTTCCTTTGACAAGAACAATTTTAATGGACACTGAATTCAAAGACATGAATCAAAAGCTTCGAAGTGAAGTTGTAACTTTATTTTTTCAATATTCGGTCTAAATGACCAAATTATACCAAAGTTTTAAACTTATATAATTTTCTGAATATTGACTGGCTCGTCTACGCTTTAAAATCTAGTCCAGATAAACATCTAGTGTTTACGATATTCGGATACCTAGAACAAAACAGCTATCTATTAAGATAATTAAAATATATAATGTCCAGTCAGTAGATATCCGATACGGCGATCGATGACAAACTTCCAGTGATGATAAGTTAAACTATTTCTTTGTACTTTTAGGTCAATTTTTTACACGAGACAAACCGTTTTTATTACATGTCCTCTTCGAAAAAACACTTTAGTACTTAGCATGGTTGAGAAGATTCTGTATGTAAACTCAGTTTTTTTCCACCAGTATATCATTATTGACGTAAAACTGATTCAGCAATGTTCTCCCACGTTCAAATCGTAGGTGTGGGATTTCTCATGTGTTTTTCGACGTTATTCGTCCATCACAAGAAATTGGGTTATTGAGATGAAATAATATTGGCTTAGTCACTCAGTCATCAAACAAAGAAACATGACATTTTGTACTGTTGCGCTTTTGGCAGAAACGTGGCAGTTTTGGTCCGTCTGCGGAACATTAGACATCTTCATTAATCAATATTTGGCTTCCTAACTCATTGCGGCTGTATTTTACAACTGAAGGCAATTCTCTAGAGATGACACACTTAAAATGCGCATCGGCAAGGCTATTTACACTGATAACATAGTTTACATTAGAAACGCCAACTCCGTCTCGTTAACAAAGACACAATTAGCCATGGTCTAGCCGCGTGGCTGAAGTTAATGTTGACGTGTTTTTGTTCGACTGATCACTGTAACTGGGCCTACTTTTCGACACTTAGTGATGATCATGATTTTGCGAAGTGAGTAGCACTTCGTGTTCTTTAGCCTTGCGTCGTAGAGCGGCTATGCTCGATGTTCTCATCCTCTCAAAATACTCTATATCTCTGAAGCCTTGTTCTTTCTCGTAAACATGTCCATCGCGGCCCTGATGCCGCGCACACTGTAAAGCTAAGAATTCATCTTTGACAGGTTTCCGCCCTTGTCCTTGATAAAGGCTGTCTTCTGATTTCTCCGAGTCGCAAGTTGTTTCCTTTTCTCCTTCCATGTTATCTTTTTCAATTTTAACGTTTGCATCACTGTTTTCGCAATCTTCTCCGTTCGATTTCCTCGTTGAATCTACGTCAGCTTCTTCGTTGTTGTCAGAATCCTTGTCGCCATCTTCGCCATCTTTAGCTTTCTCTCTTTTCCTCCATTTTGCTCGTCGATTTTGAAACCATACCTGAGATAAAAAACCATGCGAAAAAAAATTAAATGGTTTCTTTAAAAAGCATTGTTTTACTACCGCGCGCATGATTTAAGCTTTTGCAGCATGTGGTTCTATACAATAACTATGATTATTATTTACTATCATTACAAGTACGCATGAAAGAGCGATCAATTTATTGCGTGTATAAAGAATCATAGAGTCAATTCATGCAAATTTCGACAACAATAATCTTTGAAATTTCTCTTTTTGCGGTGGTAGTGTGTAATTCCAAAATGAAATTTTCGACCTGTCATTTAACAAATAATTTGATACAACAAGTTAAAACAAAATCGACTCATTTACGGAAAAGTTTTCATATGTTTAGAGGAGATAAATAAAATATTAGAGAGTAATTATTCCGTTCTCGTTAGTAAATTGTCGCTGTGGTTCTCAACAATGCGCTACTATACAAGAGAACAAGAGAATTTACATTTTTAACTCACTCGTTTTTGCCAGTTTTGTTTCTTTACCTATTTTTTTTTAAGATGGAAACCATCCATATTCATTGTAGGAAAAAAAAAACAGCAACGAAAAAGTTTGTCAACACTTATTACTGCTTTTAAACAGCATTTTAATTCGCGTTTTACAAGACTTGACAACATCGTGGATGGGAGAGCGACATTTGGTGCTTTTATTTCAATTCCGTTGCTTGAAAATTTCAATCAAAAGAAAATAAAAGATATTAAAGTCAGCGTGACATGCATTGAATAATGAAACGGCGAAGAAAAGAACATACTGTGGCGTAAACACCCCGCGGAAAAAATCACACTCGGTCTAGACAAAGATCACTTCCTTAACGGCAAGAAACAATGGCTTCTCTCCATAAAAATAAATAAAAATTTTTTAAAAAATCAGGCCAACCAGTTGTTTATAACAAAACCTTTGCAGTGATAATGTGTCTTTTATTTTCGATTTCTTATTGTAAAATTTCTCCCGGAGTTGGGAAACCCTAGTTTATCATCAGATGAATCGCCGTCTCCCTTTTTTTTCCTTTACTCGGAAGCCGAGCGAATTACGCAGGTACAGAATTAATGTGCCCCGGTTCAAGCGAATTTCATTTGCTTTGGCCGGCGGGTCAGTCTCATTGACTGGCTGATCTCCTCCCATTTGTCAAATCATCAATGTAAGCGAAAAGGAAATTAAGGGATAACATATATAAATATCAGGACACCAAGTTAGCACTGTAACACAGATAAAGTGACACTGTGTCAAAATTAAGATTCAAATGTGTGGTTACTTTTCTTCACCTTTGGACCGAAGAAATAGCTCTTCGTTCCACGTTTTCTTTACTCGCTGTTGCGCGAATTTTACCCGACTCGAGAAAGAAAAGTGATTTCAGAGTGAAATTTCCTTCGAAATATTACTATAAACTGGATGAAAACTCTTTCAGTGAAGTTTTTTGAGGTCCGTTTACTCTGTGTGGTGGGAAATAGCGTCTTCCGTGCGTCTACAGTCTAAGGATGTTTCCAAACACGAAAAATACAAACAGTCAAAGCTTGAACAAATGTTTTTATTCCGGGGCGTTCGACTCAGCTGTAGTACGTAGGAGTGTATTGTTAACCAAACCTGATTAATTGTGAGTTTTACTGAGACATTTTCCTAAATTTTAAACAAAATAAGTAAGAAAAAGACGTAACCACCCAAAATACGATTTTTGTCCGAAGAAATAATAGAGTCATTTTGAAAAGCACTAAAACGTGAGCTGGACGTAACTTTGAATCCACTATGTCTTTTTATTATAGGTGATACCCTTTTCTTCCCTTAATACGTCCAAGACAAAAATTGAAGATTTAACACCTGACAGGGTATGTTAAGACGTATAAAGAGTTATATAGCCTCAGCGACCTCTAGCTTTCATAAATAAGTTTCCTGTCTCATTGCCATTGGCCGTGAGAGCAATTACCTGAACTCTGGCTTCTGTGAGGTCTAATCTCAAGGCAAGAGCTTCACGCATGAACACGTCAGGATAGTGTGTAGTCTCAAACGCTCTTTCAAGCTGTTCTAGCTGCCAAGGACTGAAGTTCGTCCGGACGCGCATCCTGCGTGGCTTATGTGGCCTTAAATGATCCAAGAACCTTTGCCCTGAGATAGAAATTAGAACAAGATTTATTTTAACAATGCCACGATCAGATCGTTTTTTTCGTCACTCTTTTTTTAAGATAATGTCTTTCATTAAGGGTGTGATTTTCCAGAGGGCCAGAACGTGGCAACGTGCAAATCATTTTTCTTTTACTTCTGATTTACAGCATTAAGAAAATAAAACCCCTTACTTCACTGACTTCTTCATAACCTCTGATTTTTGTCATGATTTCTAGCTACAACTTGTAATTCGTGTTAAAAGCTAAGAGTCGTTCCTCAAAAGTGCAGAATGAGAGGATGTCGCGGAAAAAAATGATTTTTATGGCGTTCGTAAAGCAATATATACACACAGGAAAGATGACGAGCAAAGAAAATCCTCTTTTACGAAACACCAGACCAGGGACCGAAATAAGTTGGGAATTCTAACTTTAAACCTGACGCGCATAATTTAAAAACTTATTTTACCTACTATGAATTCTTTTCACGCAATATAACACTTGTTTAAGCGATGTTAGCGATTTTCCAATTCTTCCCCTCAAAAACCTTTCTATTGGAAATCCTTTCCCTTTGTCCTTGGTTTCTAATTTCGGGACAACAATTTACGATTATTGCTTGTTTCTGTTTTGTTTTACCCATTATTTTGCGAGAGAAATATTTCTCCTGCCTACTCGTAACCAAGAGGCGCAACAATATGAAAGCAAAATCTTGAAAACAAAGCCAATCGGTAGATTGTTACAGTTATCTTTCTGGCTGATCCCAAAATCTTAGTTATCGCATGAGATAATCCGCGAAAAATCACTGTTTATTTTCTGCTCACGTTTTTTAAATCTAATCACAGTTCACCCAGAATTTGCCGCCGTTTTATCGGTCCACAAAATGTCAAGGACAAATTAGTTAATACAATTTTTGGCTACACGAACAATTACTTAATGTTGCGACTAGGTTTAGACACAAAATGACTCACTCACAAAGCAAACTTAACAGTTTTAAAAAACCAGATGTACGCAAATTTAAGAATGATCACTTAACGATTGAAATTGGAAAAAAAAAAATGATATAAATAATTCCTACCTTGAAAAGCAGCAAGCTGAAGTTGAGGGTCTACATATGAAGCCGGGTGATATATGCACGGGACGTCGTAAGGTCGACTGGCGAAGGAGTGATACGGTAAGTAACTGGGAACTGAACAGCAAGAGTCAGTCGCGGCATATGGCAAACTGCTAGCACTTGAGATGTTCTGAACTCGAGGTGAGACCATGGCGTAGAAAGGCGACTGGAAAAATGTACGAGGACCTTGTAAGTTATTTTCCATACTCACGAATTAAGGACCTAGTTACGACTAAAAGCGGCGCGATTTGATAAAATGGACGATGCTTGTGCTTGATGTGTTGTGGAGCGCGACCGATGACTGACTCTTTATATCAAACTATGGCGATATTTAAAGGCCGCCTATTATTTTTAGCTAATGGAATTATACAATGAATTCTGAAGTGTATTCTTTGCTCATCCTGAAGTTTGCAAATCAAATAACTATTCAATCAACCGGTCATAATATAATACAAAGACCTCTAAGAGTGGCTACCTTACTAGGGCTCGATTCTGATTGGTCAGACGCATTGGGCGGACACCAAATAGCGATTGGGCGTGAAAGCCTTGGACCGGGAAAATAATTTGCCTAATTAGCAAAGAAAATATAGAATTAAATCAATTCATATCGCGCAACTGGTAAACAAGCGCAATATTCGTAAAAACATGCCCATAAAAATCGCTACGATGTACTACTGTTAACAAGGACGAAATGTCATCGCTTGAACGTAGATTCGAACCGATTGCCATTTTAGCGCAAACACTCCATGTTGCTATTTGAATTGTGGGAAGTACAAAAAAATTCACCTGCTTCTCGTATGCACAGCTGGTATCAAGCTTAATGCTAATAGGATCACAAGTGATAGTTTAATGAATTATTCCCCATGTAATAAGAAGACTCCAAATTAGGGGGTGCAAAATACTCGTCAAATGCTTTTTCGAGCCTCTCGATCAACGAGGAATTTTTTGCCACCTTAACAAAGGCTCGCCGACCAAATGGTCACACTTTCTCAAGAAGCCGTCTCAAGTCGTCTCTAGCAGAATACAAAGAGACTGAAAAAAAAATAGAATTTAAAATTTTGTGAATGAAATTTCTGCGTTCGATATCGGCTTGTTGTCAACCTGTCATGTTGAGTCAAGTACGTTTGTCTTGATCGAAGAAGAAAACAAAAGCGCGAGTAATGATTAATTAATTTACAGCCTTTCATTTGGTGAGCTAGCTGCTACGCTAAGTAATTGTACTAAATTCATCATTTAAGGTAATCCTACACCTCGGCGCTGACAGACTCAAATTTAAATTCGACCAGTAATTTAAAAAAAGAGTAAAAAAAATCAACACCACCCGTGGTTTTCTTTTTGATCCTTATTTCTAAGACGAAGAATTATTTTCTCTTCATTTCATTTTTTCCCTTTTTTTTCGGTTCTCAATCTTAAAACTGTTTTCCTTTTTCGCAGCGAGGCTCAGACACAAATTGTTAGTATCGCATTGTTGGTTCAGTTTCCCCTGCATCTGCCAAATGTCTTGTTTTTTTCCTTACATCAAACCTCATGCTCTAATATCCTAACAAACGGCAGGAATTGCGACATAACCATCATAACAATTGAAAGCTGCTTAACTTAGTATCAGGTCGCAGACAACAAAAAAGACAGAGGTGTTAATTTGAGCAACCATCAATATGTCGCAATTATTGAGGAAAATGGCAATTTCAACGTGGAAATAAGTCAAAAAAAGATTTCATATGTTCATATTCGTTTGACATTCGTTTGACAGGAACGATCCATTTTTAGCATACCCCCAGATAAGTAAGCTCAAGTATCACTTCTTTGCCGAGTTTTTAAATGCACCTTTTATCTTTTCTGGCAATCAGTGCGCGCGGGTCGACGTACAATGGTTTACTATCGTTCCTGTTGGGTAAACGTCCTTTACGGTTTTACAAATATCAATGCGTAAATTTTTTTCATACCTGAGGTCGTATTAAACAGTTAACATAATTTCGGTAACAATAATGGACAAGATAAGAGATGCAGACACAGCATCTTGCAGCGACAACAAAAGAGATCGAATTCTTAACTGACTAAACTAAATTAATCAAACAATTCTTAGAAATTCGAAACTTGCCTTCGACTCTTTTATCTTCAGAATTATTTCTTGAGACGAAAAATTAAATAGAGATTAAAAACACATCTTCGTCAGCTGAACAAGCTGACATTCAAAATGATTGGTTTAAACCAAATATTCTAGTTGCATTGTTCCAAGAACTGTGATCACGTGATCGGACGTGTAAATGTTTTCATGAAATCGTTTTTAAAAAACACTTCAGTGTGTGACATTAAAGAAAAGGCTTTAATTTTAAGTAGTAACGAGGTTATTATCAATAGACAGCGATACAAACTGTAAAGCTACCTGGTGTTAATAGAGTAGAAAAAAAAACGGTTTTTTTTAGACTGTCAGTCATCAAGATCGGAAAACGACAGTGAGCTCTCAAATGTCGATTGTAAACAGGAATTTGATACTGTATTCTGTTGCACCTGCTGGTACGTTCTGTGTCATTTAGTTCGGCGCTGCCTTTTTCCAAGGTTAAGATACATCTGTCAACAGTTGCAAAGGATCCGAAATGAGCTCTTGTCATTTTTCACGGCAAGTTTGAAAAAGAAAATGTATAAGCTAAAAGAGTAATCTTTTTTTTTTAATTCTACTCTTTAGCAAAAAAGCTTAGCGAAAAGAAAGGCTGTTATTTAAAAGACTGATCATGATTCATGCGCTGGCGATCTCCAAGGAGCTAAAATAATAGCGCAAATACTTGAGCGACAGCTGAACGAAAATCTTATTTTTGTTATGAAAAAGGTTAATTACTCGGTGTTATTATAAATTGTTTCGAAGTTAATGATCTTCAAATTGGAAACTTGCCGAAGGACCAAATATAACGGCGTTTGAAAAGAAATTAAAGTGTTTGTTTTGTTTGCTCTTTTCTGGAGGCAAATGAAAATTGAAAGCACTCTTCAAATAATACGCCAGCAAAACTCGTAAGGTTTTTGAAGATTGCAGCTAATTCACTCAAAAGCTTGGATTCTTGCGAGGTAGAACTTCTCTCCCCTCTTTTGTTCCATCGTTCACAAAGTTAAATCAAAAGATCGTTTTTAACCTTGCGTATGAGACGGCCGTGGGCTATGAAGGCGAAAACAAGTCCGCAGTTATTTTTAAAAATACAGATGCACTCACGTATTATCGGCTTTTCCGTATCGAATTTTTTTTCTTTTAATAACTTAGACTCGTTTACACTCACCACATTAGCAAAAAAATTGCGCAGAACATCACAAATCTTAGCACATACAATTAGTTATAGTTTCCAGCATAATGAAAGGAGAAAAGGAGACTGCATAAATTTTCTTTAACTTCCATGTTCTTGTAGTTAGAAAAAAATTATCCAACAGGTCCCAACGTAACAGATGAAACCTCCTTTGCTGAATGACATTTTATATATTTCAAACTTTCTTTACGAAAACTGAAGCAATAACGAGTGATAAAAACTATGATTTTTGTTATTTTGTTCTCTATACATCCTCTCCTCACCTATTTACTGGTGTGATCCATCTCTTAGTTACAGAATAAAAACGCTCCTTAATGACCTTAACAGATATTAATTAGATATGTTTGCAACCCGCTTTCCTTTGTAATTTTCGGCCAAATAAAAGGACTTGAGCCACAGTAGCAGGTAGAATACACAATACTCTAATCCTTTTCTTCTTTACTCGTATCTCTTGGGAACAATTGTGTTTTGTTTTAGCAGTTTTGCTGCGCGGTTTGTCTTTTTTTGTGAAATGTTTGTTGGATCGTTACGCCAACAGAAAAATCTAACATTGACTAACGGGCTTTCTAATCACTCGATGGCTTATTTCACTTCTTTTCATACGTATCAGATGACTTTGCATGCACTGGGTTAAAGGAAAATTACGTGGGTGTAAAAACGTGCTCGCATTTATAATACAGCCAGCTCAATATGACAACAAAACCGAAGTGTTCAATAATAATTTCTTTTGTAATTCAACTTTTCATCACCATTTCTGTTCATATGAAAATTATTTAATTTCGAACAACGAGAACTTTAAAATCTGCTCTTGACAATACGTGCATATTTTTGGAGCGCTTCGGCATCCCTGTACAACAAAAACAAGTATAATTAGTTTTTTGTGCGACACACGCCATGAAGCCAGTGAATATAACACAAAACAACAATGGTAAAAGACTGGTGTTTGATGCATAATGTGTTACTAATCAAGGCGAGATGAAATTGTTTCAAGTTAACTGTACTGTTAAATTCTGCCAAAAGGTGAAAGAGCTAGTGATTTGAGCTTATTTCGACCTTTTTCCGTCCAATTTTCATCAGTGGTATTACAAAGTTTTAAGAGTTAGGCTTCTGTGTTGTTACCACCCTAATCAAAGCACTACGGCTCAGTCGACATTGAAATATCTAAATTTGATTTTTGCTGAATGCAAGGAACAAACGAAAACTAATAATTATCAATTACAAAGTCAGTATCGCCGTATCAATAAAACGTTCAGAAGGGTTGTTACACATAATAATAGAAGCCACAGAAAATCAAAATCTAGTTATGTTTTTGTTTATTTTATATGTTGTTGTCTTTAAGGATCGTTTTGGATCATGGACCAAGAGGTTTTGAGTTATCTTAACCAACATATAAAGCTTTCTCACATGTCGTTAAAAACTCCATTGTTTTTACGCGCACGATTTGCCTCCAAAGGAAAAATAGAGCTGTTCGTATCTTCTTGTTAATGAGAAACTTTCTCCTTAACATGAGTTATAAGTATAATTTTTTTCATTAAGTGATAACGGCTGGTACATGCTTTGCAGTCTAGGCAACGAAAATAACGGGCAAATTAGGATGGGATGGAAGCCTCATGGTGTTCATTGAAATAATGAAACAGAGGGGTTTCTGACTGTGATCACCGGTGGCATATTCATTGTAGAGCTCTGTAACAAATTTATTTCATAATAGTTATGTTCTTACCTGTTCTCAGTAAAATGGAAAGGATGAAAAGAAGGCAACAATAACACCAGCTAGCTTTTGACCGAAAAAAAGAAACTGCTGTCGTTTATTTTAGTCAGAGTGACTAAGGAAGTTTTTAGCGGGTATGCAATACCAACTGAGCACGATTTAATTCGATTAGAAAAAGACCTACCCCTTTGGCATCGGCTTTTTATTTAC